AAACAGTCATGTTTAAAGAAGGCAGCATTGCTTAGCACTACAGCATTGCTTTGTGGTTCTCTGAAAGAGAATGAGAGCAAATACCGAAGAGCAAGTTGGAAGTGGCTGCAGTGCGTCTCTGCCTGCAAGAGAGATCATCTCTAGAGAGAGAATCAGGTACAATGGCTCAGATAAATCTTGCCCAGGCCCGAGGGCAAAGTAGTCTCTGAGACATTTCTGTTGTCTATCTAATCACCTAGCAACCGTGGCAGTAAAGACAACTTCATCTGTCTTCTAAACACATGGGAAAGCAGAGAAAAGCTGACTAAAATCTCTTTCTCATTTTTAATTAGCGTTTGCCAGGCACAGATATAAATTATTCCTGATAGCTGTTTTGCTCCATGAAAGTCAAACAGTTGTCAGAAGCTACCTCAGCCTGGTTTCTGGAGGGAGAAGCAGTCTAACAACATCATTCTAAAGTTAATTCCCACCGAAAACTGGGGTTTCCGACTGACTTACCACCAGAGAGAAAAGTCTAAACCTGTAGCTGAACTCTTCATGGAGGCTTAAAGGAGGGCCCTAATGGCATCATCTCTGGTCATTCTGGGGCAAAGAACACCAGATCACTAGAAGTTCCTCACCTCATGGAGGAATGCAGTGTGCCTAACAGATAGATGGGGATTTTTCTGCTGGCTACCCAGTCAGGCTGTCATGACTCAGCTTCCACTGAGGAACCTTCGGGCATCCATGAGTGGCCCTAGCCTTGACTGCTCACTTGTCCTCTCAGTTTCCATTGGTCCACACAACCAGAGAGAGCAGTCTCTGGAAGGGAGTCCAGCTGCCTGTCTGATCAGTAATCAATATTCCGTTGCCCATTAGCTTCACTGAGGATTCACTGGAAGATGCTGGGGAAACCTGTCTTCACTTTAAAAGCAGCCACTGCTCTAAGCATTTTTAACTAGCTGTTAGAGTGACCACTGTTTGTTAAAAATTCTGTAAGACACAGGTAAAAACCTGAGCTAAATATAGACTAGACTTTACAGCATTTCGTGCGTAAGCCCACTAGCAGGTACAACAACACTGCTTTTCCCTAGCACTGTTGTCCAACAAGTCAAGCGAGGAACACCAATAAATTCAGCAAATAGTCCAAGTGTAACATACAAAACAGGAATAGAAGGTCCCATTAGGGACCTTAGAAGGTCCCATTAGAAATGCATCACTGCAGAGCAGGGTAGCACACTCCTGTAATCCAGTGCTCAAGAGGCTGAGGCAGGAGGATCGTTGCCAGTTCAAGCCCAGCGTGGGCTCCAAAGTGAGCTCAAGTCCAGCCTGAACCCTATAGTGAGACCCTGTCTCAAAAAAAAAAAAAAAAAGACCAAAAAAGTGCATCATAACCTTCACACATTGTCAATAAATTTATCATTTTAACAAAAGATAATGCATAAAAGAGGCAAGGCCTAAGCATTTGAAAAGTCATAAAATTCATGCATGACAATTTTGACTCACCAAGCAAGTTGCAATGCAGAATGCAATCAAAATATTTTAGGGGTCAGGCCCTGAATCAAGGTCGGCAGCTTCCTGAGACTGTTGGTTTCAAGCAAGAGCCTAAAAGATGTCTTTCTATGGTCTGCTGGCCATTTCAGAACTTGGGCAGTGAAATGGTCAATTCATTAGAAAGAAACAGCTTGAAGCAACCCCCCACCATGAGCAGCTGTGAGCATGGCAGGCTGTGGTGGCCCAGGATGGGAGCTTCCAGCGTTTACTGGGACCAGCACCATGCTGGGATCTGGAGCATCAGGAAACCAAGCAACCTCTACCCCTCTACCTGTTTTGTTTTGTTGAACTCCAATATACATGAAAGTATGGACAGCTATTTTGAGGAGAATGGGAGACTACGACAGCCATTAGTGACTTCTCTATTGTCTGGTTCTGAAGACCTAAAACGCCTTCCTCATTCTGTTCAGATAAGTTTTATACTATATTGTTTTGTATGAATTCTCTGTATGTGAAGACATGGACAACTATTTGGAAGAAAACAAGAGACAATATGATAGATAGTGAAGATCCCAGGTTGTCTAGCTTTGAAATTTATATCTCCTTACATTGCTTTCTTATGACCTGTTTTATTCTGTTATGTTGTGTTTAATTTTAACCCCTTTAAAATAAAAAATATTTTGGGGGTGCCATGAAGCAAAAGCAAACTCTTACCTCCTTCCAAGTGTCTCTTTTATTTGAAATAGTTGAGCATACCTTCACACACAATAATATCAAACATTAAAAATAGTATAAAACAATTGAAAAGAATGAAAGCATTACAGGACTTCAAAACCAGATAACAGGAAATGAACAATGGCTACTATATCTCGTCTTACTCAAAGAATTTGTTTATACCATCACACATAATAAAATCACATAAAACACAACAGAGTAGAACCAATCAAAACAGAAGCATGGTAGGATTTCAAAACAAGGTGTTAGGAAATCAGCAGTGGCTACCATGATGTCTCATTTTCTTCAGTGTAGCTGTTCATACCTTCACACATGATAAAATCAACCAAAAATAGAATTAAACAAATGAATGAAAGCATTTTAAGACTTCAAGACAATAGGGGCTGGAGATTTAGCTCAGCGGCATAAGCACCTGCCTTGCAAGCAGGCAGTCGTGAGTTCGATCCCCGGTACCGATTAAAAAAAAAAAGGAAAAAGACTTCAAGACAATTAAATAGGAAACCGTGATTACCATAATATGTCCCATTATATTCAAATAGCTGCCCCCCAAAAATAAAAATAAATGTAAAAAATAATTGCCCCAGGCATAAGCGCCTGCCTTGCAAGCAGGCGGTCGTGAGTTCAATCCCTGGTACCGATAAAAAGTTAAAAAAAAAAATAACTGCCCCTGCTATCAGACAGAGTAAAATCTAACAAAATAAGATAGAACAAAGCCAACCTAACAAAACTGTGAAAACAATACAAGAGTTCAAGACAAGACAGTAAGAAATTAACAGTAGTTACCACTTTCCCTCCCAGGTGTTTCCTCCCCTTATCACGCTTATTTTGTTTTTGGACCCATTAGCTCCTGTTTCTTATGCTGGAGTTCACACGTGTGAGTTTGAACTGTTTCACCCATGAACACGATCTCCAGCTGCGTCCATTTACCTACAGGAGCTGTGAGATTATTCTACTTTATAGCTGGATAGCTCCTGCTGCATAGAAATACCCTATCTGTCTTATCCATTCTGCAGTTGATGGGCAAGTTACATTTTTTTTAAATCGATACCAGGGATCGAACTCATGACCATGCGCTTGCAAGGCAGGTGCTTATGCTGCTGAGCTAAATCCCCAGCCTCATGAGCAAATTACTCTTAACTTTTATTCTGGTCTCCTGTCGCATGGAACAATTGTTTTCTCTCCTTTGATTTTCAATCTGTGAAATTCCTTTCCAGTTAGGTGTGTCTCTTGTATACAGCATATCCATGGATCTTGTTTCCTGATCCACTCTCCCTGTTTCTTTTCATTGCTGCCCCTAGGTAGTGTACAGGGAGGGACAGGTACCTGGATTCCTCTAACCCCAGACTTATAGGGAGGTAGCAGAGTGTGGAGCGGGCTCCTCCAGAGCCATGCAACTACAACACTGGGGGTTCTCTGATGATCAGGGGTACATGGAGGTGGGGCTGCTTCTCTCAGCCTGTGTAAATGCCACAGTGGTGGTAGGCACACAGGGGTGTGTTTGTCTGATTCTGCTGGTGGGTGATGGCTACCTGAGGGAACCAAGGACCTCCAATGACAGCCTACAGGTGCACAGGGCTTACCTGGCTGTGGATCCCTGCTCCTGCTGGCTGCCCGCAGGAAGGAGCCTTCCAGTGGCAGTGCCCGGCAGGCAGAGGTAGATCTCCAGCCTCAGCCTTGAGGCATTCCCATCTCCTGCACTGACTCGCTCCCTGGAGGACCCTGCCCTATCTGACCGCCTTATAGATTTCTACCTAGTAGTAGGCTAGCAAGACCACAAGTGTCTCTCCTCATTTGAAGACCCGGGAGATTTGGGGCCCTTCCAGGTTCTCCAAGCCACTCCCCCCAACACACAGACAGGCTGACTGAGGACAGAAGAGGTCACGTCTCATAAGAAGGCAGCACAGAGCAGGAGCTGCTTAGAAGGGATCCTGGGAAGAGACGGTAGTCAAGCAGCAGAGCACCCAGGCTCTTGCAGGTGACAGGCTGGTGGCTGGAAGGCTAAGACCTGGAGGCCCTTCCATGCGGCCCCTTCGCAGGATCTTTGAGTCTTCTCCCCCGTCCCAGCCACCAGGGAACATCCTCCAGCTGACTGACTGGTTCACTCATTGATTTTGTTCTGGAGGTTCTGGATAAGCTGCATCGCTGGGCTATGTATCCCCTGCCTTTTTGATTTTTTTATTTTTATCTTGAGACAGGGTCTTGTTAAGTTGCCCAAGCTGGCCCCAAACTTGTGATCCTCCTGCCACAGCCCCTCGAAGGCTGGAACTGTAGGCATGTGCCACAGTGCCAAGTTTATTCAACTGGTGGGCATGTGGCTTGACAGTAGGGCATTTCTTTGGCATTTACCAGCCCCAGACTTCCATCCAGAAAAAAGGGAGAGAGGAAGGAAAAAGGAAAGGAAGACAAAAGGGTAGGTTTAGGGGTGGCTTAGCCCTGGTATATGTCCTGGATTTAATCCTCAGCCCAGCAGAAATGAAAAAAATAGATCAGAGAAGAAAATGCTGTGTTAGATCACACCAAGGACAATGTTTTTGCTCTAGCGGGCTTGGGATAGAAACATCTGTTATCATGTGGGTCTCCAGTGGAGAAGTTGAATCCTCCTGTGACCCATCAGAGGACACTGGGCCTGGCGCACCTTGTCTGAAGCAGGGGACCAGTTCCCATCTGCGGACCGTGGGCAGATGCTGTCCAGCTGTCCAGATGGGGCCTGGTGCCTGCCCACTGCCCGGGACCAGCTGGAAGTCCCAGTCGGGCGGAGGGTGGGCTGCTCCTGACCCCCTACTTCTCCCCAGGGTAGAGTATGTCAAGCTGGCCAATGAACACAAAGATGCCGTCAACTTGGGCCAGGGATTCCCGAACTTCCCTCCCCCAGACTTTGCCGTGGAAGCCTTTCAACAGGCTGTCAGCGGGGACTACATGCTCAACCAGTACACTATGGCGTTTGTGAGTCTCCGGCCATCCCGGGGAAGGAGGGGAGGCCTCAGTGCGGCCACTGTTCAATTCCCTCTGCCCCCGGCTCCGAGGCAGCACATGGAGCAGGACGGAGGGAATGAACCCTGGGAATGGATGGGAGGGCTGCCTGGAGGAGGCAACACCTAAAGCAAACCCTGACACACAACCCTGCATGTGTGCATCTTTGCCTGTGTGTGTGTGCAGAGAGAGAACCCAGGGCCACCTCACTGAGCCACACCTCCAGTGCTTTTTATTTTGTATTTTGAGAAAGGGCCTTGCTAAGCTGCTCAGGATAGGCACAACCTTGCAATCTTCTTCTGGGTTACAAGTATGTGTCTTCATGCCCAGCTGAAATCCAAACCTTCTCTGTAAAGGACACAGAGGAAATATTTGCTACCCTTATGCTAGAAGTGGCTCTTGGACTTGGTGTGCCCCTGAATTGCTAAGAGGGATCTTTCCTGAATCCCTTTTCAGTGTGATGTTGCAGTAGGTAACATAAGTGGCCTCACTGTGTCCACCGTGTCCTGGAACTGATTTCACTAAACAGCGCATCCCGGGCGCCTTCTCTGACCACAAAGCCCCTAAAAAGGCTGTGGACTTTGAGTGGCGCCGCCTGCCTGTGGCATATTTCATTACCCAGCCTACCGTGCGGTGTCCACCCCTGTGAACAGTGCCACAGTGAATAGCCTGGGTGGACGTCTTTGGGTGCCAGTACAGTTCTCAAAGGTAAATTCCTTCTAGAAAGAGAGAGGGGGCTCTCCTTTGTCTGCCTGTTCTGCTGACAGGGGACATATGCAATCCTTTTTTCTTTTTGAGACAGGGTCTCACTATGCAGTTCAGGCTGGCCCTGAACTCACTGTGTAGCCCAGGCTGGCCTTGAACTCACGGTGATCATCCTGCCTCAGCCTCCTCAATGCTGGGATCAAGGTTGCACCACCACACTTTACTTTTCCATGTGAACCAGCCTCTCTTTGGTGATACCAAAAGGCGCCTCCTTAGGAGTTTTCTCCACAGGGCAGTTTATCTTCCTGGTCATTGCACCTCACTCATCAGTGTTCCCCAAAACCCTGGCTAAAGATCTTTTGGGTAGGCAAGTACGTGTTATCTTGCAATTTTAAAAACCATCTCAGGCTGGGGACATAGCTCAGCAGCATAAGCACCTGCCTGGCAAATGCAAGGTCCTGAGTTCAAGCCCCGGTACAATAAATAAATAAACGCCATCTCTCCCATCAAGACCTCCACATAAGCCACTATATGTGACCCTCTTCTGAGTCCCTGTCACCCAATTTGAAATCCACCCTCCTGACTCCTCACCCAGTCCCAAGGCAAAAGTCAACTGCATTCTCATTCATTTTTCCCCACTCATAGATTATCTTGCTGCAGCTGTGTACTGAATTTCTTGGTTGAGCTGGCTGGGAACATTACCTAGCTTACCCAGTCCCTGATGACCCCTGAACAGATGCGCGCCTTACAAAGGCGAGAGAGGAAAGCGCTTTGACCCCCGCGAACACTGCCCAGGCTCGCCACTAGGAGGCGTGAGAATTGCCTGGGTGCTGCTTGGCAAGGGGCTGAGCGTGGGCACCTGAGCCTCTGTCCCAACAGGGTTACCCACCGCTGACAAAGATCCTGGCAAGTTTCTTCGGGAAGCTGCTGGGACAGGAGTTGGACCCACTCGCCAACGTGCTGGTCACCGTGGGTGCCTACGGGGCCCTGTTCACGGCCTTTCAGGCCCTGGTGGATGAGGGAGACGAGGTGAATGGCCCGCGTGGCGCGTGGGGTAGGGGGCGGGACAGTGCTGACCCCCGGCTGACCCCATCCTCCTTCCAGGTCATCATCACTGAACCTTTTTTTGACTGTTATGAGCCCATGACACTGATGGCAGGGGGGCGTCCTGTGTTTGTGTCTCTGAAGCAGGTGAGAAGCTAGCTGGGTCAGTGGGTGACCAAGGAGCTGGGCTGGAGCTTGGGAGATGGGACAGGGGGAAGAGGAAGGAACTCACACCTCTGGCCTGGGACAGACACTGAGGCAAGGGAGCTGAGTGACAGACAGGGATAGTCTGCCAGCCCTTCCCACCATCTCCTGCAGAGCCCCAACCAGGACCTGGATTCCAGCAGCAGCTGGCAGCTGGATGCCACGGAGCTGGCCAGCAAGTTCACGCCTCGCACTAAAGTCCTGGTGCTCAACACACCCAACAACCCTCTCGGGAAGGTACCTGGAGACCGAGCCTCCTGGGGGTCCCAGTGACAGGAACTGGAACCCCACAAGGCAATCAGGGCTGGGATGGTGGTATGGGCTGTGGCCACACCACTTCCCAGTGACCTGGGACAGTGGCCTTTCCCAGTGCTTCGTCATGTGTGAAACAGGACCTGAGAGGACCATGTCACTGGGTCAGATCAGGGTGTTGAGATCTGTGAGAAGGTGCAGGGAAGCCCCTAGTGGCTGGCGTGGCCACCTGCCACCTCTGAGCCGGGCCCTGTTGCACGCCTGCACCTCCCTGGTCCCACAGGTGTTCTCCAAGGTGGAGCTGGAGCTGGTGGCCAGCCTGTGCCGGCAGCACGATGTGCTGTGCATCAGTGACGAGGTCTACCAGTGGCTCGTCTATGACACCAACCAGCACATCAGCATAGGTGAGCCACCGGCCCATGCCCCTCCCTGGATACCATGACCGGGCCCTGAACCTCAGCTGGTAACCTGGACCCGGGCTGGGACTTGACAGCTGTGTGACCGTAGGCAGTGACTTCACCTTCCTGAAGACAGGGCCACAGCATTCTGTTCCTCCCCAGGCTGTCCTGAGGATGAGACCACATAAGTGCTGTCTGTAGCTTAGTGGGCAGCTGTGTCTACGGGATGGAGTCTGTGCCATCACCCGGGTCCGCCCCCCACCTTCCCCTTGGCTCAGCAATCGTTCTCTTTGGCCCTGGGCAGCTACCCTCCCTGGCATGTGGGATCGGACCCTAACCATCGGCAGTGCTGGGAAGACCTTCAGCGTCACCGGCTGGAAGGTGAGTCCATGCGGGGGTAGGGTGTGGTGTCATCCCCCTGCCCTGTGGTCCTTGACAGTGATGCCAGCCATGGGAGCTGAGAAAGGTGTGGCCGGGCCCCAAGGGCCTCACCTGCTGCCTGTGTCCCTCGTCCAGGTGGGCTGGGTTCTGGGTCCTGAGAACATCATGAAGCACCTGCGGACGGTGCACCAGAACTCCATCTACCACTGCCCTACGCAGGCCCAGGTGAGAAGGGCGGGAACGAGCAAGGGAAGAGCCCACCCAGCACAGTGGCGGGCCCCCCTGACCAACCTATCTGTCCCCCTGTTCAGGCTGCGGTAGCCCAGTGTTTCGAGCAGGAGCGGGAGATCTTCGGCCAATCTAGCAGCTACTTTGTGCAGCTGCCTCAGGCCATGCAGCGCAAGCGGGACCACATGATCCGCAGCCTGCGGTCCGTGGGCTTCAAGCCTGTGGCCCCCCAGGGCAGCTACTTCCTCACCGTGGACATCTCGGACTTTAGTGAGTGACCCAGTCATACCCAGTGACAGGGTGAAGGGGCTGGAGGCTATCTAGGACACAGCATGGCCTCTGTCCCCCAGAGAGCAAGATGCCTGACCTGCCTGGTGCTGCTCATGAACCCTATGACAGACGCTTCACCAAGTGGATGATCAAGAACAAGGTAGGCTGGGTCTCTGCCAGAGCAGCTGGGTGCCCAAGAGCGCCCAGCCAGAGGCATTGCCTGGCCATAAGCCCCAATGCATTTCCGTGCTCTCCTGTAAGTAGAGAACCAGCTCTAATTTGCATGAAGATATAGCACTGGGTGACAAGATTTCTTGCCCCTCTCTGGGTCTCAGTTTTCCCATCTGCACAGTGAGGAGCTGGTCCATTTCTCTGAAGTTTGTGTGGCTCACCCTGGGATTCTAAGGCTGACTCTGCTCTGGCCTGTGGCACAGTCTGCCTGCTCCTGACAACCATGCCTCTGCACAGACACACAGAGACCTGTCACGGTGCCTGGAGTTTCTTCTCCCTGACATAGCACTTAGAGGGGATGCATGGGCCCTAGTTTTCCTTGCTGCCCCTCACGGGAAGCTCTGTGTCCCCCTGTGCCTGCTGGACCACGAGGCCATGTGGAGATCTGTGCTTGCTCCTCCCTAGGGCCTGGTAGCTATACCAGTCTCCATCTTCTACAGCGGGCCACATCAGAAGGACTTTGATCATTACATCCGATTCTGCTTTGTGAAGGTAATGGTGGGGCTGGGGGCCCTGCCCTTGCTTCTGCAGGCCCCTGGGCAAGGGGTGGCAGGAAGGACATGTGTGCATCACTGCAGGAAGAAGCCACGCTCCAGGCCATGGATGAGAAGCTGCAGAAGTGGAAGGCTGAGCTCAAATTTTGAGTTCACACGGTTCTTGGGTCACACAGGTGCCTCTTCATCTAGGTTCCAGCCACTCCCACATCAGGAGGCTGGGACTGGAGACTGCTGCTCTGTAATCCAGACTGTTCCTAGGGAAGATGTCATCTGTTCCCTCCAGTGGTGCCTGGAACCCCTGTTTTGGTGTAGATGAGAGAGGCCTGAGAGCTCTCTGCCCCTCCCTGGGTCCGTTGTAGGCCCTTGGGTCTCTCCTGGCTTAGCTGGGAGAACTGACACCATAGAAGACCCTGAGTCCCAGCCCTGTCCCCCATCCTCTCCTGGCCCCAGCTGAAGCTCAGGTATCTCCTCTACCTTCCCACGTCTAACCTTGATCACAGAAAGTTCAATTCAGTCTTGAGTCTTTCTTGCCTGTAATAAAATTTTAAATTATTCAAACTTTAGTTGGCAGTGTGTCTCCGCCTCAGACATGGGACTGCTGAGTGGGGCTTGCTCAGAATGGAAAGAGCTCAGACCCAATCTCTTCTTTTTGTATAATATTGTGTGTGCTAAAAGCAAGGCTTAAATTGGCAATCAAAAGAAGTGACGTGTAGGGTGTGGTGGCACACGCCTGTAATCCTAGTACTATGAGGGTGAGGCAGAAGCATCGCTCAAAGCCAGCGTGGGCTACCAAGCTTGAGACCAGCTCCAAAAAAAAAGTCGGATAATGCCAGAGGTGCTAGCGGCAAGCTGCATCTGCAGAGGAAGCTTCAGAGTTGCGACCCTCTAATCCCATGCCCCAACGGAGCTTTGATGAATAACAAAAAGCCACTCAGGAAATTCCATGGGCCACCCAGAGAGTAGACATCCAAGTATGCAGGGCAGTTAGTATCCGAGGCGAAGTTCATCGCTTACCCACGCAGCCCGCAGCTTAGCCCCGCCCCATCCTGCAGCCCAGACTCCACCTCCGCATAGCCCCGCCCAACTACATGCTAAGGCCCCGCCCCTCACACTATGGGGCTTCCGATTGGACGGCTCTGCGGGGGTGTGACCGGAAGAGGCGAATCTGAGCGGCGCAGGCCTGAACCGCGGTGTGCCGCGGACATGGCGGAGCGCGGGAGGAAGCGGCCTTGCGGACCGGTAGGTTCCCGGTGGTACTGAGGGCAGGGTCGGGGCTGGGGCTGGGGCTGGGGCTGGGCCCGTGAGAACGGACAGCCTAGGGACGCGTGGTGGGGATGGCCCGCGCGTCTGGCTCCTTGTCCCGAGGCCCCGAAGCCTGCACGTGCCACAAGCTGGTGGCCCATTGGGCGCCTGCAGGAACGCAATCCTGAGGCGGGAGCGCCGTCGGCGAGGCTGGGGCCAAAGTCCCCGCAGCCCTCTCCGGGACTGGATTCAGGAATTGGGACTGTGTTCTCATCCTGAGCCGTTCTGTGCCTCAAGTCTTCTGATTCTCAGGGGACTGTGGGCAACCTGATGTGGGTGCCTCAGTTTCCCTTTTCGTCTCATGAATTCGTCGTGGCAGGCCTGAGCTAGGCACTGGGGGTACAGTAGGCCCCTGGCCCTTGGCACAGCAGTATGTGTGGTTTCCTGGCTGCCTTACCACCCCGATTGGAGGAACAGGGGGGCTGTGAAGCAGCAGAGGTGGCCCCTCCAGACGGACCCATCAGCCTCACGCTTAGCCTGCTCCTCCTCCAGGGTGAACACGGACAAAGGGTTGAGTGGCGAAAATGGAAACAGCAGAGTAAGTAAGGGCCGCGGTGGCGAAGAGAGCCCGTGTCTACCCTTACTCCAGGCCATCTAAGCGGTGCTGCCTGAGCCTGTCCTGTAGGACTCACAGCTCCCCATGGGGGAGGTTGGGGTGCTGGGCTAACACACTTCCTTAGTCCCCACCAATCAGGCTGTTCTCTTACCCAGAGAAAGAGGAGAAAAAGAAGTGGAAGGACCTCAAGCTGACCAAAAAACTGGAGCGACAGCGGGCACAGGAGGAACAGGCAAAGCGCCAGAAGGAAGAAGAGGAGGCAGCTGCCCAGAGGGAGGACCTAGGTGAGCCTGGGCCTTGGGGAAGTGCACAGGCGGCCCACAGTGGCTGCACTGTGGCAGAACAGAGTGTGGTATCTGGAAGAGCCCTCTAGTGACCACTGGGCTCGGATATCTTGTCCTGATAGAGAAACAGACCCTAAAGGGGAGGACAGTCCTAACTTCAGGTGGTTTAAGCCAATGAATATTAAACATTCCATCTCTTAGCTGTATTCCTCTAGGGCCTTATCTTAATTTTTTTCTTTTTTTCCTCTCAGTTTTGTGGTTGTGGGCAAGCACTGTACCACAGCTATAACTCCTACCCAGAACGTGTGCGTTGGGGATGGAGGTTGAGCCAAGGTTCACTATGTAGTCGAGACTCCCCACAGACTCGCAGTCCTTTCGCCCTTGCTTCCCAGGTGAAGGGATTATCGGTGTGTGCTACCTCAGCTGGCTTGGTACAGCATAATTTTATGAGTTTTTTTGCATTAATGCAGAAATCCTCAATAAGACACTGGCAGACAGACTGCAAGAAGATTGTACACCATGATTAAGTGAGATTCATCCCAGGGATGCTGGGATGGTTCAACATACGTAAATTCATGAATGTAATGCACCATATTTAACAGAGCCAAGGATAAAAATCATATGATCATCTCAATAGATGCAGAAAATGCTTTTGACAAAGTCCAGTACCTGTTCATGATAAAAGCCCTACAGAAAATTGGAATAGATGGTCTTTATCTTAACCTGATAAAAGCCACCTATGATACACCAACATCTGACATCATACTAAATGGAATTTTTTGTTTGTTCTTTGTTTGTACTTGGGATTAAACTGAGGGCCATCACTTGTGTTTATTTTTTTGTTGTTGTTTTTTGAGATGAGATCTTGATAATTGCCCAGGCTGACCTCAAACTCACTTTCCATCTTCCTGCCTCAGCCTCCCAGAGTTCTAGGGTACAGGTGACTGCTACCTGCCAGACAGGCACTTATGCCGCTGAGCTAAATCCCCAGCCCCTCCCGCCTTTTTTTTTTTTTTTTTCATAATATTTTCTTGAGTTTGTTCTGTGCTTTGATTTCATTTTTCATTCAATTATTTTGCTTTCTTTATAATGGAAAGGTTGCTTTATTTTCCGGTCATAAGTAATACAGGTTCAAAACTACAAAAAACTGTAAAGAAGGAAAATCTTTGTGAACAGTGATGAACATTATACCCACTGGCGCAGCAGAGGGATGTACCTTGGCAGTTTATAGCAGCGAGCCTGGTTATGTGCGTCCTTGCACCTGGATTAGGCCTCTCAGCCCTTCCATGTCCATGCTAACAGAGTGGATCTTCTTTTCTTCAGGGCCCCAGCTGTGGAGGTCAGCAGCCACGGGGACAGTGTGGCAGTCATCAGTGCCAGGGAGCTGGGGAGCCCTGCCTGGGCCTGGGAAACTGTGGGAGGGGTGGGATGCGTTGGCTCCTCTGGAGCCAGCAGGCCTGACCCCTGGTGTCAGCTGCCTGCCATGGCACTGATTTGACTTCTCAGGGCTACAGACTTCTGTCTTGTAATGGGGACAGGGCGCTGGTTCCAGGATTCCTCACACCATGGACCTCAAAATCTAAAGATGTTCATATTCATATGTCCTTGACATAACAAACAGTATAGTGTTTGCTCTACACAGTTCTCTTATACACCTTTTGCCTTTGTGTGTCTTTCTGAGACAGTTTTGCTGCATAGTTCAGCACTTTATAGCCCAGGCTGGCCTCGAATTCACAGCAGTTCCTCCTGCCTCAGCCTCTTTAGAGCTGGGATTACAGGCATGCACTACCATGCCCAGCTTTTTGTTGTGTTTTTTGAAACAGGATCTCACTATGCAGTTCAGGCTGGCTTTGAACTCACAGAGAGTTCTGTGAGCTCTTGCCTCAGCCTCCTGTTTTGACAGCTGAGGGAGTAAAGGGCAGGGCCAGGATGTAAACTTAGGCCAACGTTCCCAGCCACCCTCTGGCCTTGCCCAGTGGTCTGTCTTGTTCAGAGGAATCTAGAAAAAGTCACTGTATCTGTTTTCCTCCTGGAGGGACTGAAGTCCAGAAGGGAGCTGGATCTATTTTGCTAATTTCAGAATTCCTCCAGTTGAACTGGGTGTGGTGGTGCACACCAGTAATCTCAGTACTCTGGGAGGCTAAGGCAGGAAGGTCACAAGTTCTAGTCTCACCTAGGCAACTTTGTAAAACTCTCTCAAAATAAAAGTAAAAAGGGATGGGGATGTAGCTGAATACAGAAGCCCTGAGTTTGATTCCTAGTTACACACACATACCCAGTTGAACAGTTCTCTAACTCTAGACCCTGGAAAAAGGAGGGTGGGGTGGGATTTGGCCTGCTGGGCTGACCAGGAGTGCCCCTCCCCTGCCCAGGACGGCCCTACACCCTGAGTGTGGCCCTGCCAGGCTCCATTCTGGACAATGCCCAGTCACCCGAGCTCCGTACCTACCTGGCTGGCCAGATTGCCAGGGCCTGTGCCATATTCTGCGTGGATGAGGTCGTGGTGTTCGATGAAGAAGGCCAGGAAGCCAAGTGAGAGGCCCCCCGGGGCTGTGGGGCTCGGGAGGAGGAAGGGGACAGTGCCCTGCCCAGCTGCCGGGCTCCTCCTGGGCCTTATGTGGCCTGTTGTGACCCTCAGGGGTCAGGCTGTGTGGGAGGGGCCTTTGGTAGTGCTGGGGATCGAACTCAGGGCCCTGCACGCTTAGCCCCTAAGTGTCCCCACCCCCAACAGCCTTCCATCTTGTGTCCTGTTTCTGCCCAGGTCTGTGGAGGGCGAATTCAGAGGAGTTGGCAAGAAAGGGCAGGCATGTGTGCAGCTGGCTCGCATCCTGCAGTACCTGGAGTGTCCACAGTAAGGCGGTGACTTCCCGGAGTGTGGGCTGGGGCACTCAGCAAGGAGGTCAGCTGGTCACCCCGAGACCCACGTCCTCCACCAGGTACCTGAGGAAGGCGTTCTTCCCCAAGCACCAAGACCTCCAGTTCGCAGGTACTGAGCACCCGGCGCTAGTTCACCACCCTGTCCTGGGATGAGGACGAGGCCCTCCTCCTCATCCTCCTGTGCTCCTGGCCCAGGCCTCCTGAACCCCCTGGACAGCCCTCACCACGTGCGTCAGGACGAGGAGTCTGAGTTCCGAGAGGGGGTCGTGGTAGACCGGCCCACCCGGCCGGGCCACGGCTCCTTCGTCAACTGTGGCATGAAGAAGGTGGGACCCGGAAGGCAGGCTGTGGTGTGCCTTGGGGAGACCATAGCTGAGGGGGGCAGGCAGGGAGGTGTGGGAAGACCTGGAATCAAACCTGCCTGTGGCATCCCGGTTGATGCAGACCTGGGCCGGCGAAGACCCCACAGTGGCCCGGGGCCGAGGCCAGCAGCAAATGCCCTGTTGCTGCTTTGCCTATTTGTGGGGCTGGGGTTAAACCAAGGGCTCTAATGTGCCAAGTTTGTGCTTAGCCACTGAGCTACACTTCCAGCTTCACTGTGTTGTAAAAAGCAAATCAGGGTGCCGGGGATATAGCTCAGCAGCACATCATGTGCCCGGCAAGGGGTAAGGGCCTGAGTTAAGAGTCCCAGTACCAAAAAAAGACAAATCATACTCGGTCCTGGTGCCACCCCTGCAATCCTAGCACTCAGGAGGCTGAGGCAGAAGGATCACTAAGTTTGAGGCCAGCTAGAGCTACATAGCTTAAGGCCAGCCTGAGCTGCATAGTAATACTGTCTCAAAAAACCTCCACAATAACAAAGCAAGTCATGGAATCCCAGCACTGGGAGGCTGAGGCAGGCAGTTTGTAAGTTTGAATCTAGCCTCGAGAATGTAGTGTCTTAGCAAGAAGCTATCTCAAAATAAAAAATAGAAATGGCTGAGGATGCAGGGCAGACTAGTATTCCCAGTACTCCTAGGAGACTGCGGCAGGAGCACCACAATTTCAGTACAGCTCAGCAAAAGTGCTGGGTTCAACTCCAGTACCCATAGGGAAAGAAACCATTTGGGCTCTGCTGTAGCACTTTGCAGAGCCAGGTTGGGGATGGTTTGCTCTTTGGTCTCCTAAATGCAGAGGCCGACATTGTGAGGTGTGTGGGCCTCCCCTCTCTAAAAGATCAGACCAGAGAGCTGGGCGTGGCTTGCAATCCCAGCACTCAAGAGGCTGAGGCAGGACGATTGTTGCAAGTTGGACACCAACCTGGACTACAAAGTGCGCTCAAGGCCAGCCTGCACTGCAGAGCAAGACCCTGTCTCAAAAAGACCCTCCCCCCCCAAAAAAAAAAATCAGACCAGAAGTCACCAGCTACAGTCAGATCAGGGTTAGGCCCTGGCTGGCTTCAAACTCATGGAATTCCTTCTGCCTCAGCCTCCCGTGTGCTAGGTGTGCACCATTATATCCAGCTGTCATAAGTGTTTGGTGGAAATGGTCTTCTGTGAGGGGACTGCCCCAGTGGCCTTGTTTGGAGAGCCCAGGCCTGCAGCCCCCACTTTCCAGAGTCACAGGGAGCAGTGACCCCTGCTGGTCATTTGGGGACACCACCCTTTTCTTCTGGCCTCTCCCCAGGAGGTGAAGATCGACAAGAACTTGGAGCCTGGACTTCGAGTGACCGTGAGACTGAACCAGCAGCAGCTCCCAGGTATCCGGAAGCATCCCTGGCTCCTGCCATGGCCTGGCCAGCTTCAGGACAGAGCCCCTCTGTCCCTAAGCCCTCGCCGCATCTTCACAGCCTGTGTTGCCCCCAGAATGCAAGACCTACCGGGGCACGGTCGTGTCCTCACAGGAGCCTCGAACTAGAGCCGGGCTCTACTGGGGCTACACCGTCCGGCTGGCCTCCTGCCTCAGTAAGTGCACCCGTCGTCCTCTGCATGGCTGTCCGACCCTGTCAGGGACCCCTGCTTGACCCGGAAGCCAGGCCAGGCCCTCGTCTTACCAGGCTGTCATGTCCCGGGTGGGCGGGTGACCTCACTAAGTCAGAAGTTCCATATTCCTGGTGCCCTCTGCTTGTTCCTTGGACCCAGCCCGGGCTTGGCCTCTGCTGTGCCCTCCTCGTCCTCCTCAGGGCAGTGCAGGGGCTACATGTGGTGCCAGCCACACCAGGAGGCCACCGTTGACCCCTCCCAGGTGCTGTGTTTGCCGAGGCCCCCTTCCAGGACGGGTATGACCTGACCATCGGGACATCGGAGCGTGGCTCGGATGTGGCCTCTGCTCAGCTGCCCAGCTTTCGGTGGGTGCCAGGGCTGGAGCCTATTGGGGGCCTGGCTGTCCATGGCAGGGGGCAGTCAGGGGCTTTGCTTATTCGGGCCCTGGTGCATGGGTGGTGGCCTTGTCTCTGTGTCAGGCACGCTCTTGTGGTGTTTGGGGGCCTCCAAGGGCTGGAAGCCGGCGTGGATGCTGACCCCAACTTGGAGGTGTCGGAGCCCAGCGTTCTGTTTGATCTGTACGTGAACACATGCCCAGGCCAGGGCAGTCGCACCATCCGCACGGAGGTGAGCCTGTGCGGGACCTCAGCTGTTCAGGGTGCTTTGTAGCTACCTTCACTGAAGGACAGGACTCTGTGTACCCAGCAGGGTCCTATGGGCCCAGGCGGGGTCATTGGGTTGGTGGCTTGCTTACCCCTCCCAGGACCTCTGCTCCCTCAGCTGTGCCACCAGTGTTCCTCTGCTGCCTGGTTCTGTGTGACTATGCACGTGGATGTGGGGGGACAGGTGGCCAGAGGAACTGTTCTTGTGGGCAGTGTGCTAGGTGAGCCCCAGTAAACTCAGTGGTGACACCTGTGTCCCTAAGCCCCTACCTAAGCACACTGAGCCTGCCAGCCACACATACCCACCACAGGACCAGGACTCCCCTGCCCAGAGGCAAAGACCTTGCTGCCACCCTCACACTGAGAAGCAGGGCAACCCCAAACCTGCTCATCGCCTCTCCAGGGACCTTGGGAGTGGCCAGGCTGTGGAACTGGGCAGGAACTAGGAGCCAGTCCCCAGCTGTTGTCTGTTGTCCCCAGGAAGCCATCCTCATCTCCCTGGCCGCCCTGCAGCCCGGCCTTACCCAGGCAGGCACCCGGCCCACTTGAAGGTTCACATAGGACACAGACAAGCAGGTGTGGAACCTGGCGGGGCTCCTGTGGGTCACCTGAGACAGCCACTGCCCAGTCTCCAAAAATAACCGGCTTTAATGCACTGCGGCCCCCATACCTCAGTCCCGGGCCTGCGCCTCACTTGCCACCGGTAGTGATGGCCTTGACGGTGCCCGCCCGCGCCAGGATGTTGGGCACGAAGAGCAGCCCCGAGGCCCGCTCAATGCTCTCGATGGGCACCAGGAAGCGCTCGAGTGGGATGGCCTCATCCACTGGTGCATTGGGCAGCACGTAGGAGCGCAGCTCAATCTGCCCAGCCGCAGCCTCCAGGATCAGCACCTTGAAGAAGTGTGTGGGCACTGCCACGTGATTCTTGCCGATGACCTGGTACTTCACATAGGACTTCCCGTCGGCCTCCGTCCTGCGGGCACACCCAACACTCGTGGCCGGAGTCTCCAGGAAGCCTGCTCTGCTCTAGCTCCGGCTCTGCCCTCCTACCAGGCCTCCCCCACCCTCACCCTGACTGCAGGGCTCCGTGCACTGCGTGACTCTGTCCTTCTACTTCCCGCACAGCCAGAGGGCTGGCAATAAACGCTGCTGGAAGTAGCAGGCCAAGTACACCTTCCACTTGTCCCTGGGATACTTGATTACTGTTTGTCTTTCCTGGTGGCAGTGTACCAGGTGGGCACGGCCATGGCAACTGAAATCCCACGTCTAGCACAGAACCAGGCACATTGTCAGTCACTGGTCTCACCGTGCAGTTTAGGCTGGACTTGAATTCACAGCAGTCTTCCTGCCTCGGCCTCCTGGGATTACAGGGGCACAGCACAGTACCTGGCCACATACATGGCTTCTGGCACCAATCTCAGTGGGCACTTGCTGGTGGAAGTTTATCAGTGCCCGAGATACCACCTGAGCTAGCCTGCACCAAGCCCTTACCATGTCCCCCATCTGTAAGGTCACGGGCTTTAGTCTCATTTTATGAGGGAGGACACTGAGACCTCCTGCCCATGGCACCAAGGGATCAGGCAGTAGGGTCTGGGTGCCATCTCAAGCCTCCAGACTCCATTCCTTGCTCGGCCTGGTCCTCAGTAGAGCAGGGAAATTAATGACCCTAGCCAGGTCTCAGGCCCCAACAGCTGGGACAGGCAGGGGGACAGAGGCTGACCTGAGGGCAGGAGGAAAGCCCTGAGCAGAACAGACAGCAAGAGGGCCTGGCAACTTGGGGACCTGTGTGATCCCATCCATGCAGAGGAAGCATGGGTGGAGTGGGGTGGCAGGGGTCACGGAGCAAGGACATTTGGGGCTGGGTACCCTTTGGTACAGAAAAGGTGGCCTAGGAGGCCACCCAGGGGCCTCTGGCTGCTGAAGTGCAATGGGACTGCATGTGGTGCACCCGCATAAGCCTAGCACTTGGGAAGCTGAGGCAGGAGGACAATCACTGCACAATAGAGGCCAGCCTGGGCTGCCTGATGGGATGGGTTCAAGATCAGCCTGAGCTACCCAGCAAGACTCTCAGAAAAACAAAAAAAAATTTTAAAGTGGACTGGGAACCCAAGGGAGGGAGACAGACTAGCCAAGAAGATGGGTGAACAGTGCCCAGGTGCCAACTTGGGGTGCAGCCTGTCTGTGACCTCACCTAGGCAGGAAGAGCGGCCCAGTGCAGACATAGACGTTCTGGTAGGAGCGTGTCAGGCTGCGGCTGTACTTCTCCAGGTTGTTCCAGGCGTTCTGGTTGAGGTGCGGTACCTGGGGAGCAGAAGAGGGGACTCAGGTGGACATACTAGTCCCACACCCCTCCCTGGGGCCAGGTGACCACAGGGTAGAGTCTGGGCAGGGCTGATGGGGGTACTGGGCTCCCTCCAGCCGTGGCTCCTGCACCCTGGGTCTTTTAAGTCTTGTCTCAAATCTAGAGGAGTCTTCCCCTCCTTTTCAGGAGACACCTGTGCAGCCTGGGCTTTCCAAGCTAGGGAAATGGGTACAGGCCGGAGTCATGGGGAAAGACGTCCAGCCGGAGGCTTGAAGCTACTGCCAGAGTCTCCTTCAGCCCACATGCACTGAGCGCCACGTGCGGGTGGAGGTGGGGTGGTTTGGCCTGGGTGGTGGGATTGCCACTGGCACCCCAACTACGTGCCCTTGCTTTCCTAATGAGGCTGGAAGGCAGCCTGCTACCTTAGCTCCTCCAACCCAGCCACCTGGGGCTGGGGATGCAGCTCAGCGTTAAGACACTTGCCTAGCGTGCTGGCGGCCTGGGTTCAATCCCCACTGCTACCAAAAAAACAGTAATTAACGCGGCGTTATGATGCATACCTGAGGCCATCCTGGGCTATACAGCAAGACTGTCTCAAAAACAAAAACAACTGCCTGCGTGCGCCTGCCGCTGTGACACGAGTTCCCGCCTCATAGCCAACAGCCCACTTTGGTACCTCAACCCTCTGCAAGCAAAAACTGAAAGATAGCACCACCCGCCGGTCACGAAGGAGATGGAAGGTCACATTAGCGTCCAGGGCTCAGAACCCCTGTCTGAGCCCAAATCCGGGTTCTGGGCCTGCACGCCGGGCCCTGGGCTCCTCCCCACCCCCAGGGCTCGGCAGAGCGGGGCGCTGCAAACCTGGGGCGCGACGTTGCTCAGGTAGAAGGTGTCATCCATGGCCTTCTGGCTCCAGCGGTGGTTGGCGGCGGCGGCGAGGTGGCCGCGGTCGAAGCCGCTGCCGCGGAAGTCGGCATTGGTGGCGCGGTGGTACTTGTGCACCGAGTCGTCCTCGCGGAAATCGCACGCTTGGCGGTCGCCGTCGCCGCGGAGCCGCTCGGGCCGCAGCTGCTCGACCACCCAGAGCGCGCCGCGGGTGCGCGGGTCGTAGCACAGCACGTACGACTCCCGGCTCTTGAGCTGCGCCACCCCGGGCAGCCCGTACTTGGCGAGCTCGCCGGGGCCCAGGCTGGCCGGTCCCCCGGGCACCGCGGGCAGCTCAGCCGCTGCCGCCACGGGCAGCACTGGCAGGCGGCCCAGCAGCCCCGGCGCCGCCCGCGCCTCCGGCCCGCGCCGCCGCCAGCGCTCAGCAACAGAGCCCAGCCCCGCACCCAGGGCCAGTGTCACGGCGGCCCGCAGCGCGCTCATGGCACCACAGCCCGGACCGCGCGCTGCGCCCTGCGTGGCTGAGACCGAGCAGGGCTGGAAGAGGGGGTACTGTCCTTCCGGTCCGCTGGCAAACGCTCTCCAGAACTCCGGAGCCAAAACCTACGACGGTGGGACCGGCCCCCACGTGGGCAGCCCCCTTTCTTTGCCCTTTTAAGACCCAGGTCAAGGGGTGTGGCTCTGTCACCTCAGCTCTTGATTGGTCGCATTCAGGTATCTGGCCCCGCCCAGGCTGTGGAGCTTGCCCTCTGCGCATGTGCGAGGACCTACTCGGTGCTCTAAAGTGCTTTCACACTACTTCATTTAATCCTTAAAACACGTGAAGGAGACCTAGGTGGCAGAACAAGTACAGGGTCCCAGGTCTGTCAAACTCCAGTCTGCCCTCACCATGACTCCATCAAATAACCCAAGTGCTTTTCCACATCAAATTAATCAGGAAAAAGATAAGAACCCCTTGCCTTCTTAGAGTGTTTACAAGGGGCCTGCTGAATGCATCTCTGTTCTGGTTCAGCAAAGGGGCATGCTGTTCTTTTTGTCTTTTTTGGGACGGGGTCTTGCTATGCAGTTCAGGCTGGCCTTGAGGTCACTTTGTAGCCCAGGCTGGTCTCGATCTCGAAACAATCCTCCCACCTCAGCCTCCAAGTGCTGGGATTATAGGTATGAGTCACTATGCCCAGCAGTTGACTGTTTTTTGAGACAGGGCTTCACTATGTAGTTCAGGGTGGCCTTGAACTCATAAAGTAACTAAGGCTGGTCTGAACCTCTGGGCAGTCCTCCTGCCTCAGCCTCCCAAGTACTGGGATGACAGGCATTCACTACCACACCTGGCCTGGACAGATTTTGTGTGTGGAAACCTGGAGTCGAACTTAGGTCCTCAGGCTTGCCTGGCAGGTTCTGTGCCACTGAGCTACATCCCTGGCCCAGGCACATTATTCTTATAGACAAATTTATCACCCAGCCTCAAACACCATGAGAAAGTTGCAAAGGAGATGGCTGCTTCTCCAGAGGGCTCCCGCGGTGCTCCAGTGAGAGCTGCTTCCTCCTCCTTTTACCATCAACCCAGGAGGAGGAGGAGGAAGAAAACTAGAGAGCAAGAGAACGCAACTGCCTTGGTTATGGCCTTGAAAGGGTCTGGGAAGAATCACGGAGGAAGTGACCCTTCTGCTACATCTCCCAAACTTCGGGCAGTAACTGGGGTGGCATTCTCTTCCTCCACTTCTATTTGATGGTCCCTGAAAGCCCAGTTCCCCTACTGGGAGAGGCGCTTTTTGTTTGAATACCATAACACACATGCACCCAGGTCAGGTGCCCTGGGGCCCTCTAGTGGAGACCAAAGTAAATCCTAAAATCAGGGCCCTGGAGGATAAACGCAGGGAGCAGTAAATGCTGCCCCCTGGGCAAATAACCTTAAAGACCCTACTACCTCCTGCATCCGAGACAGCACCATCTCAGGTCTAAAGATAAGGAAGGCCCTACTGACAACCGAGGGGCATGAGCTTTTCGAGCTCCTTGTAACAGTCCTTACCAACTCCAGTCTTGGTGCCAACACTCAATGGGGGGTGGAGGTTGGTGCCGGACTCTATACTGGTAAATCTGGCCATGGTGCCCACCTACCAGGGTACCCAACCCACTCGCCCTCCTTCCCAGATCCCCAAAGATGCCAGTTGGTTCTCGGTTTAAAAGATGCCCGTTTTTATACTCTTAACAGCCAGATTTGCCATTTCTTTTTGTCTTTGAAAACCCTCATGCCCAGGCCTCTCATGAGCTGGGCTGGGCCGTGCCACCCTGAGCCATGGTACCGCTCCTGCCTCAGCCTCCCAAGTGCTGGATTACAGCCAGCTGCTACCACACGCGGCTCTCAGCACCGTTACCGACCATCCCTTTTCCCAGTGTTCTTGGCACCGTGGAAAACCCACTGACGTGTTTTGGGTTTGTGTGGGCTGCTTCTGTGCACACAGGAGGGATGAGTGGGACCCAGGAGCGTGCACCACTCAGCACTCACTCTGCCCTGACCACACCCCACCGTGCACTGACTTGGGCTCCCGCACAGCTGTACTTGGTTCTGTGCCGCTGGTGGAGTCTGCATCGTTTTCTCCATGGCAGAGGATAGGGGCCAGCAGAGGAACTCTCTTCCTCTTCTCAGGCAGACAGCTTTTGCTTCTTCCTCTTGTCCAACTTCTCCCAACCAGGACCCCAGGGCCATCACCCCGCAGTCGCATGAGGGGCATCAGTGTCTTATTCCTGACCTTCCAGGAAGACCTGTCAACCTCTACTGGGCCATGCCGCCAGCCACGGAAACCTCGCCTTGAGGTCCATTCTTTTTGTTTGAGACAGGGTCTTGCTATGTCATTCAGGCTGGCCTCCCAATTCAGTGATCCTCCTGTCTCAGCCTCCCAAGTACTGGGATCACAGCTGTGTGCCACCACATGGCTCAATTTTTTTTTTTTTTTTTTTTTTTTTTTGGATATGTATAGTTCAGGCTCGGAACTATGTAGCCCAGACAGGCCTCAAACTCGCAGCAATCCTCCTGCCTCAACCCCAAGAGTGCTGGGACTGACTCAACCATTTTCGAACTCTAAATGTATTTGCCACGTGATTGAGCAGTATGATCTCCTTCCCACATTCATGAAGGTGGCGCTGACACTGAGACAGAGGGGCTGAGCTGGCCGCTCCAACATGCATTCCCAACCACCCTCTTAGGCCACGGCCACTGTCCCTGCCCGTGTCTCAAGAGGTGCCAGTCCCTCATGGCACCAGCACCCACTGCAAAGAACATAGGGTTTATTAAAGAATTCATCACCCACAGCACTGATTCTGAGGACAAAACAGACAGGAGACAACAGCCGACACATTCCGACCCTCTGCACAGGGACCGAGACTGCACAAGCTTTGTCTCATGTCCCAGACAGCGTCCCACGCAGGAGCAGCAGGCACTGCCTGTGACCCCCTTAGGAGTCCAGGAGGAGTCAGCCAGGCCAGGTCCTTGCCATGGCAACACTCTGGGAGGCTCTACCTAGTGTGAGTCCCTGGACCCTGGACCTTCACCTCCAGGACAAGGACAGTGCACTGGATGCAGAGCTCCCGTGAAGTAGATCGGAAGCTGTGATTCAAGTAGTATGTTCCCAGGCAGGGAGATAAGCTGGGCCAGAGGGGATGCAGGTGCCCCGGGCAGTGTCTGCTGGGTCCTGTTGGTGGCCCATGCCTCGGGCAATGGAGGGGCAAAGCTGGCTGAGCCACTAGCTGAGTTCTGAGGGAGACTGGTGGGCAGGACTGTCCCTGCTGTGTTTCCAGATCTCTAAGTCTGGCCAAGACACTGACCCTCTGGTCACCTTTACACTGGTGCCATTAGAGCTTGCAGCCTCCTGGCCAGAACCTACTAGAAAACCAGGTCCTCGAGGAGCTTGGGAAATGGACAGACCGCGTCTGCAACTCCCTTCTCCATTCCCAGCAGCCTCCCCCTCCCAAAGCACTTGCCAATCTGCAATAAATAGGCAGGAGTCTGAATAAATAGTAAAGGCCTCCCAGATCCTGGCTTGGGAGAGGCAGCCAAGAGGAAAGTGCAGAGTTCTGCACCCCCAGCAAGGGCCTGCCCCAAACGGCTCAGACCCGAGGCCCCTGGACCCAAGCCTCCAGCCAGCATAGAACTCAGCTGATGAGGGCACCACCCCAAATCCTGCAGGCTCCAAGCAGCTGACAAGACTGTCCCTGCTCCTGTGGCCACAACTGCCTGCGTGGGGCACAGGGACACCAAGGCCCAGACAGGCTTTTCTGGTGCCTAGACACAGGCCACAGGTTCTGTTCCACCCGGGCTGAGGCTTCCTGGGTCCCAGCAGACCTGCAGGAACCAGGTTGACAGCAACTCTTGGAAGCACTTGACACGGTGCCCTTTCCCTTCAAGGCATGAAGGCTCCGAGGAAGCCTCCAGGGCATCAGCTCTCCGGCTTCTCTGTCCCCCACCACGGGCAGGACACAGGTGGCAGGTCACAGCTTCCTGGGCCACCAGCCCTTGGCGCCTCTGGGTTTCCAGATCTCCAGTGCTTCCGAGGAGTCTGTGCTGGGGGTGGCCCAGGAGCCTAGCCACTCCAGGGACCTGTGAGCCACGCCCTTCATTCTGCCTCCAGGTTCCCTTCCAGCCAGAGGAGGGAGGCAGGAAGAGGCTCCAGATAAGGCACCCCGGAGAGAAAGGCAGGGGAAGGGAAAGGCAGAGGGAGGCAGTCTCGGCACCCCTGGGAAGAGGCGGAAGGAGACAGAGGCAGAGGCAGAGGTAGAGAGAGAGAAGGGGAAGCTGGACCCTGGGGACACCCTCGCCCAACCTGAGCACCCAGACACGTCGGGGATAGATTCTGGGCTGATACTCCTCAGCAACACACACGCTCAGTGGGGGACAGAGGGCTGGGGCTGGGCCTGGCAGTCATTTGCCTCCTTTGGAGTCCCCTCCCCATGGAGAAGCCTGAGCACCAAGTCCCAGAATTGGTTTCTGTCCCACTTGCCAAGCACCCCCTGACCAGCAGCCAGGTGAAGACCAGAAACAGGGAGGGACAAGGAAGGGGGCAGACAGAGGCAGGAGGGACTCTTGCCAGCCTCCTTCTGCCTGGAACAGCCCCCAGCCCTGCTTGACAGCCTGGGCAGAGGGGCCCGGGCCAGAGCAGGGAGGACACCTGGGCTTGGTGGCTGAAGAAGACGGCACAGCGGGCACCGGAGGGCACAGCCTGGGTGGCAGGAGCCAGAGCACCCAGAGCAGCTGCATCTGCAGCAGCCAAGGGCCAGGGATGCCCAAACCCCAAGACCTAGGGCACAGGGTGGGCGGCTGCTCTCCCAGACCCAGCCTCTCGCCTCCAGGCTACTTGGAGTCCTGCAGCTCCTTGGCCTTCTGTAGGATCTGGCAGACATCTGTGATGGGGTAATCCTGGCACGGGAAAGCCCAACAATGCGCCCCTGTAGCAGCTTACCCTCGCCACCTCCGCCTCAGCCACACCCTCCACCCTGGGACCTGTGGCCATGCTGTAGGCCCCACAGCTGGGGCATACTCCTGACCCCGAATCCCATCAACTCAATCAGCCTGCAGGTGACAGCCCCGAGGGTCTCACATGTGTGCAGGACCAGGCCCACCCTGCTCAGGACCCGATGCTCAGCTTGTGCCTGAGCACTGGGCAGGGCTGCTGTGAGGGCACCTGCTTCAGGGCCTACGTTCCTGATGTCACTGAGAAGCAACCCCAGCCAGGCGCTGGGGAGGACACTGGAAGAAGCGCCATCAGCTCCTGGACCCAGGCTCTTAGCCATTGTGCTCTGCCCCGGGGCTGACGCCACGCTGGGCCATGTCCCGCTGCACCCTAGGCGAGCTGACTCGTGGGCCATGTGCAGACCAGAAGCCAAGGCTTTCGCTCAAGACCATGCAACACTCAGGCCAGCAAGGGCCGGGAGTCCAAGACCCCGAGCCCCTGCTGCCCACCCCCACCCTGGCCTCAGCCCGCAGGGGGATGGCAGTGTCTGACTGGAGGCCGAGGCCGGGCTCCCCTCCAAGCACCCTCACCTGCAGGAGCCGCATGTTGACTGTGAAGTCCCCTTCCAGCAGCTGCTCCCGGATCAGGCTGTGAGGAGAGAGCTGCTGAGGTCCTGAACTCTGGGCTGCTCTGGTACAGGCCAGCCAGGACTCCGGTTGGGTGGCGCTGCCTGAATCCCAACCCACCCCGCCACATCAGGCCCTTCGGCTCACTCACATGAGCATGGCGCAGCAGACAAGGAGGAGGAAGTCAAAGCGGTTGCCATCCGCGAAGAGCGAGTCCCAGATGCGGATGACGTCAGGCAGCAGGAACTCCTGGGACAGCAGCAGCGTGAGCCAGCGGAATGCAAAGAACTGGGGCCTGATGTTCTGCTCTTGCTGGGGAGACAGCGGGGGCCCAGCCATGCGTGAGTGTCAGGGACAGCAAGAGGGCCGGGGACATGCAGTGGGCAGCCCCGCCACTCCTCTAAAGAAAGGGCAGCTGCACCTGCTCCGGCCAACACAGTCAAATCTGATTTTCCAGAGCATCCAGAAAGCCTGACTGCTGTGAGCAGCAGATCTGGAAACCATGGCCCCGATGCCTCAGAACACCTCAGAACACCAGGTCCCAATGCTGGATCTGCAGACATGCATGGTGACTGCCTCCAGCAAGGCCAAAGTATCCATCCCTTATTTATCATCTAATGACCCCTTGGGGCTCCTGTCCCCAAAAGGGGTGGCCCCGGTTTTGAAGAGATCGTGCCACAAAGCAGCAGATAGCATGGCACCGTCTGTTGAAGGTTTTCTCTCTCTCAGCACTGAGTCTGTTCCTATGTCAATACCCACCTTTCACTGTCTGGTTTTCTGAAATAAACACAGATGCCATGAGAATTTTCAAAAATGAAGTTACTACCTTTTTTCCTTTTTAACTTTTTGAGACCAGGTCTCGCTACACAGTCCCAGCTGGCCTCATGGTTGTGGCCAGTGTAGGCGGGGTGGGGCAGGCCCAGGCCTCACCAGCTTCAGGTAGAGCTCCGAGTCCTTGTCCTTCAGGGTGGAGTACACCTTCTCCATCTTGTAGGTGATGCCGCACTGCGAGTCGTCCAGGCTCTTGATGAAGTTGTCCCGGATCTCAGCCATGAGGTTGGTGAAGCAGAAGAAGGTGTCTGCCTCGGCGTGCTCTGGACAGAAGGCCCGGTGTGGGAAGGGTGGCTCCCAGTCACCTTGGGACCCTTCCCCACATCGCCCCAGGCCCTACCCTAATGGCGTGGCTGACCCCTTGCTGTGTCCTTGAGCCCTGTGTACCCCAGATTGAGGACCCCACCACATCCTTCCCACCCTGAAACACTGTCCTATCCTTCAGCAACGTATTTTCAAATTGGGATTTTTTTTGGAGACAGGGTCTCATTATGCAGTTCGGGCTGGCCTTGAACTCATTATGTAGCCCAGGGCCACCTCCCCAGCGTGCACTACCACTGCCGGCTCAAATTGGGATTTAAATCTCATCCCTTTCACCAGCAATCAGGCTGCATCAACATCAGCACCCTAAGGCAGAGGCGGAAGGGCTGGGAGGCCTAGGAGGTGGCAGTGGTACACAGCCTGACAGCCCCTCCGAGGCCTCCCTCCAGAGCCTTAGGGGCCGGCTACCTTTCCACTCGCTGCTGGGGTCCGTGGCGAAGGTGTAGTACAGGGGCCCCACGATCTCGTTCATGCCCTGCACGTAGGCGATGCCAGGGTTGAGCTTGGCGTAGATGAACAGGATCCGCTCCACCACCTCCCAGTGGGCCTCGCAGCCGTTGGGCAGCACCTGGTACTCGCTCAGGGCCTGGGGCGCTGTGCTCTTGTGCGGGGAGCTCATCTGCGGGCACAGGTGCAGTGTCAGTCAGGGCCAGCTTTCCAGCAACTCCCACACTCGGCTGCTGGGAATGTGTCACCACCACCGGAGCACACGCAGTCCTCTGCGTAGTGCCATCAGCTTCAGACACCAAAGCTAGGGGCACGGCGGGGGTAAGGGGGGTGCTGAGCAGAATTTTCTGGATGATGAAATATTCTGTATCTTGACCCACATGAAAAATCTAGTACAGTTTGCTTCATGTATATTATGCCTCAATTTCAAATAGATACTTTAAACAGACCACTGGCCAAGACTCTTCAAAAGATAAGCGGGCAGGGCTGGGGATTTTTTTTTTTTTTTTTTTTTTGTCTTTTTCGTTTTTGTTGGTACCAGGGACCAAACTCACGACTGCCTGCTTGCAAGGCAGGCGATTTATGGGGCTGGGGATTTAGCTCAGCGGCATAAGCACCTGCCTTGCATGTGTGTGGTCATGAGTTCAATCCCTGGTACTGGTAAAAATACAAAAAAAAAAAAAAAAATTGAAAAGCGGGCAATGCCCATAATCCCAGTATTCCTGGGGCCAAGGCAGGAGGAGTTTTGCAAATCCAAGGCCAGCCTGAACTACCTAGCAAGACCCTGTCTCACCCCACCTACACACAAAGTCAACTGGTGGGGTGAGTGGAGACTTGTTTCAAATCAAGAAACTGAACAAACTGCCAGGCGTGGTGGCACACACCTGTAATCCCAGCACTTGAGAGGCTGAGGCAGGAAGGTCTCTGAGTGAGGCCCAAGTGAACTATACAAGACTCTTTATCAAAAAAAAAAAAAAAAAAAAAAAAAAAAAAAAGAAGGGGGCTGGGGATTTAGCTCAGTGGCATAAGTACCTGCCTTGCAAGTAGGCGGTCATGAGTTCGATCCCTGGTACCGATAAAAAACGAAAAAGACAAAAAAAAAAAAAAAAAAAAAAAGGAAGAAAGAAAAGCTAAAGAAACAGCATATGCCTTGTTTGAAGCTCAGTTTGAAATAAAACAATTAATTTACCCTTTTGGGGTTTCGGGGTTTAATGGGAATTGAACTTTACACTGGGGATGGTCTTTACACCAAACTACATCCTAAGCCTTGTTTTATTTTTCAAGCCAGGATCCTACTAAATTGCCCAGGCCAAGTTCGAACTTATGATCCTTCTGCCACAGCCTCCCAGACTGCTAGAACTATAGGTATGCAAAACCACACCCAGCTTTTTTGAGACAGCCTTAATATGTAGCCTGGACTAGCTTCAAACTCACAGCAATCCTCCTGCCTCAGCCTCCAGAGTGCTGAGATGACGCATGGCCCTGCCTGACCACCAAAATTAGGCCTGGCCTGGCAGCAGGTATCCCAGCTGGTGTCAGCTGTGCGCTGGTCCTGGGTGATGCTTGGGACTGGCTCCTCTCTCAGTCTCCTGAGTGCCGGCATTGCAAGTGTGCACCACCACACCGGCCCACACCTGGTCACTGCGCTAACCCAGCTGACTCCAGAGGCCATGTTCCATGTCTGGTGGCCAGGCGGCCCCAAGGGTGCCCGGGTTCCCCAGCTCTTGGGTGACCTGCCCTCTGTGAGCTTGCCCCAGCCTCCAGCCAATGCCACAGCCAAGCAGGGCTTCGAGGATGCTGCCTGCCTGGTGATCAGAGTCCCCAAAGGCCAACTTCGACTTTAACCCCCGAAGTCTAGGGGGCTCAGGGACTAGGGGGTCTAGGGGGCTCAGGGACAAAGCAGGCCAAGTTTCTCTGCTGCTATGATCAGGTGCAATGGTGACAGTGGGTCATAGTACAGCACTGGGACCCCAACTCCTATAGTAAAAGGACTTGAGCCCACCCCTGCCTCACCCTTCAGCTAAGCGAGCAGCTGCCCATGTCACCCACTCAAGCCCTGACACCTGAGGTGGCTCCCCAGGACCCCAGCCTTTCCACAGGCTCATGGGGCTGGGATAGGCTGGGTCTGCCTCGATGTGCTGCAGTCACAGATGGTCCCTGGGGAAATGAGCCTCCATAGTCCTGTCTGCCTCCAGCCAGGAAAGACACACACAGAGACAGTTTCTCTACTGATGGGGACAGTGACAAGGTTGGAGCCACAGGCCACTATCCCACTGAACACCGGAATAAGGGAATACACGGGTCTGGCTACGAGCAGCCTCTCCAGACGTGCACACATCTGTGAGACTGGGGTCCCCCCTATAGGCTATGTTACCTCCGCTCCTGAGTGTCCCGCATCCATCCCTGCTGCACACTGGGCCCTCCCACCACCCACCTTGACTGACCACAGCCACCGTCATGCTCCTATCACACAATCACAACCACAGTCCCTTGCTCAGAGCTTTTGCTACCTCAGGACAAAAAGCAACAGCAGGATGAGCCTGACCCTGCCTCCAGGAAGCGACAGAGCCAAAGCTGCTCCAGGTGAGACCAGCAGCCTGTGGGCTTAGGTGACAGGAAGCAAAAGGCTGCTGGGGGAATACGGGGGCCCAGGCTGGCTCTTACATTCGTTACCCCACTCCGGTTCCGTGCTACCGTCTGAGATTTCAGAGTTGTCTGTTCCACCCGCTTGCGGAGGGTCTCAAATTCATTCTGGGGGTCCAGGATGAGGAGGCAGGGGTACTCAGTAGCCCTCTGGAAGAAGGAGATGTCTGGGCACAATCTCCTGTCAACAAGAGGGAACAAGGGAGATTCCAGCCATTCCACCACCATCTGCCACCCTAGAGGCAGCTCCTGATTGACTTTTTTTTGTGTGTCTTTTTAAGGCAGAGTCTCGCTATGTGGTTCCGGCTGGCCTTGGACTCACTTTGTAGCCCAGGCTGCCCTCGAACTCCCAATGATCCTACCTCAGCCTCTTGAGTGCTAGGATTACAAGAGTGTGCCCAGCCTGATTGACTCTTTTAACAGGAAAGTTTCATCTAAAAATAAGTATTAGTTTTTAAAAAGTAATAGTCACTGGGCTCTGTGACACGTTCCTCTAATCCCAAGAAGGCTGAGGCAAGAGAATCGTTGTGAGTGGGAGGCCAGCCTGGGCTACACAGTGACAACCTCAAACAAAAAGGAATGGTTAGGCTAGGAACGTGGCTGAGCTCCAGCCTTGCACGTACAAGGCCCTGAGTTCAATCCCCAGCACCACCAAAAAAAAAAAGTAAGAGGAACAGTGATTGTGTCTGATACACCCACACCTTACACATCATAAAGATCCCCACAGGAGAGTACATCCTTTAAAGTGTGTTTAAAGTCACGCAGCCTCACCCTTCTCTCACACCTCATACACCTCTCCAGTCAAAATGCCCGACGGGGCCGAGGCCAGGGCGTGGAGCTCAGCCCTGTGCTTGCCAGCTCAAGGCCCTCAATTTGCTCCCCAGCACCAAAAGGTGAAATGCAGAAGCCAGGGGTGAGGCTGGAACTGTGGTTCGGTTTGTAACAGCTGAAGAGTTCGGGTTAGGCAGCACACCGCACACCCGGACACTACATCTGCCATGGAAGAGGCCAGCACAGCAGGGTGGAAGACGCAGCCTGACCCAGCTTCTAACCGCGGCAGACATCGGGCCTTGTGCCCATTTCTCAGACTCACGCACAATGCATCATATGTCGACTCTCTGCAAACACAGAACACTATGCCACCTCAGCATCGCACGCGCAGGACCTGCATCTCCAGCCCCTCCCCAGAGCCACTGAGGGACCAGGCTCTCGAGCCCCAGCCATCCAGTGAACACAGGAGCGGGAAACCTCTTCCCCCAGGGTCCCTGGAGCCATGTCAACAGGGGCGCGGGCTGCAGAGTGGCATAGGGGGCAGAACTCCTTCCTCTGCAGCTGCTGCTCTGCTCCTTGCAGCCTGCTGTCACCTGCTCTAACACACGGACCGTCCTGCCTCTCCCAGGGCACAGACTGGCTGTGTGGCCGGAAGTATTCCCTGTTTGCCGATCCCAGCCCTGATCCCAGCCCTGATCAGGGTGCCTGGGTTCCGTGAGAAGTAGCTGCACTGCACCTCACCTGGCCCACGGCAGGCAGACTCCCTGGGGACCCAGCGATGGCCCCTGGAAACACGCACAGGTGGCAATGCACGACTCGGGACAGGGACTGTGACCAAGGAGGGTGTGCCACTCAAGGGCCTAGCAGGTGCCCCGGAGAACAGGAGGAGATCCTGGGACCCTGCTCTGCCAGCCACCAGGGATGAGGGGGGCCCCACAGGATGCCAGGACCAGCGTGCCCTTCCCACCCACCTGTGAAGATCCAGACACACACACGCGCGCGCACACACACACCCTTAGCATGCACCTCCTCCTCCTGTGTCACAGGTAAAGTCAGATCAGACAGCAGCTGACTACTGATACAGCCCTACTGGGAGAGCCAATGGATACACCACAGAGCTCTCAGCCACCGCTGCCCTGGGGAGGAGGCTCCTGGGAGGTGCCCCACACCGGAGCACGACATGAGGTGCAGCAGCTTCCTGGGTTTCTCTCCCAAAGGAAAAACCTGCACCTTGTCACTCACACTTACTAAAACACTATGCGCCTGACCCTGCTGCTCCTCAGCTGAAACCCTTGCATGGCTGTGCCACGCCCGGGACTCAAGTCCAAGGTCCAGCCCTGCTCCCCACTCCAGCCTCCTCCCCAAGGGCTCTGGGCTTCCCAGCCCCAGTCACAGTGCCCCACAGCCCCTCCCTCTGCCCCAGTCTCCAATCCTGCAGCCCTCAGCTGGTACCACTCCTGCACAAGGCAGCCCTGCTCCCCTGGCAGCCAGCACCTCCAGCAGCAAACACCTTGTGCACGCCAGCTACAAGAAGGTCTTGGTGGGCCACGGTTGCCTGGCACCTGCCTGTCTGCCCAGGGCTCAGCCCTAGGGCCCTGGGTCAGAGCTGCAGAAAGTGCCAGAAAGCTGAGGGCCAGTGCCAGCCCCCGCCAGCACCTTACCGGACATCTTTGTCAATCTGCAGCAACACCTCGTTGTCCCTGAAGTACGTGTTCCACCGACTGTCAGGGCTGGGGTTCAGAGGCTGAGGGGACAAAAGCAGCTGCTTGGCACAGACTGTTCTTTTTCTTCTTTTTCTGTTCGAGACGGTGTCTCGAATTGTAATCTAGGCAGACACTGAACTCACTATGTAGCCCAGGCTGGCCTTGAACTAGCAGCGATCCTCCTGCCTCACCTCCCAAGAGCGGGGATCCCAGGGTGACACCACTTCGTTGGGCTGGCACAGGCCGTCCTCCAGCCATTCTTCCCTCCACTGCTCTGGCTGCAGAGCGCTGCACAGAGCAGATGCTCTCCAAACGCCGCTGAGTGCGCATGAGTGAACACGCTATCACTGCGCCTCTGCAAACCCCACTCGCTGGCCTGTGTGTCACTGACTCCAGGCCTCAGAAAATGGGCCTGGGAGTGGTCATCTATGCTGCCCACGCTGGGCGCATGTGGGAAAGAGGTCAGATACGGGGGACAGGACCTAGACAAGCAAATTAGCTGCTCTCCTGCCCACCTCAACTTTCCAAATGCACAACTGGAGTCCCGACCTCCAGGAACTGGGCCAAGGGTTGAGGGGCTGCTGGGTATTGCATACCATGGACCACACCAGGCCTCTGCCACGCAGAAAGAAGGCGCTGGCAGGATCAGGGAGGAGGGAAACCAAGCTGCCCCACTCTATCCACTCACGTGGTCCTCAAAGGTCACATCCTCCCTGGACGCTCCTATGTTGGCCTTGGCGATGCCAGGCTGGATAATCATTTCCCTCAGAAACTGGGCGTAGAGCTCCCTGTGGGAGAGAAGAGGGGAGAGGGTGATGCCAAGGCCTGGCCAGGAGAAGCAGCAGCAGGAGCCAGGCTCTCCCATCTGCTGCAGCCCACAGTCTCACCTCTGTTTGGCCAGGATGGACGTCCATGAGGCTCTCTCCAAGGGGAGGTAGTTTAACAGGATCTGCACAGAGGACAGCGGTACGGCTCTGGCGCTGGTCCGTCCCCTCCAGGGCCCAGTGAAGGCTTCCGGAAGCCCGGAGCCAGCCACATGCCCAAGGCCTGAAATGCAGCCGGTGCCCAGGCAGCCTCCCACCCCAGGCCGGCCTTTTCCTCTGCTTTCCCACACGTGCTCTTCCGGATGATAAGAAAAGTGGGTGCTCGCTCGAGGGGCTGGGTACCAGGGCTTGGGTTTGCATCCCTGCTCAGAACTTCACATGGAACACAGCCTGCCCTCTGGGTGTAGCAGGAAACAGGCATCCATGCTGGCAATATAGTGTCCCATGCCCAAAGACATCCCGGAGGAGACAGTGACAGGACAGGACAGGAGAGAACGGAAGAGAACACCCAGAACTTCCCCAGTCAGCTTCCTCAGACAAGCAGGGGACAGAGCAGAGCGGGAGGGAAGGCTGGAGCCCAGCAGCCCACACAAGACCCGAGAGCACAGAGCTGCTCAGGCACACCCACCTTCCAGCAGAGGCACCGCAGTCCACCTTCACAGGGGATGCCTGTGGACACAGTAGGCAGAAGTCACCCCAGGCCAGGCCCAGCACCCCCAGGCCCCCACCTGGAGCCAGCTGGCAGGGAGTAGCATGGGTGGGAAGTACTTCAAGAATCATTCTAAGCTGGATGCTAATTCTGGATGTAATTTCTGTCCTTGGCCCCAGTCCCAGCTCAGAACCCTCTCTGTCTGGAATGTTTTGGGTTTGGTTTGGATTGGTATTTTGAGACAGGATCTTGCTATGCAGTTCAGGGTAGCCTTGAACTCATTAGGTAGCCCAGGGTAGCCTTGAACTCCCAGAGTTCCTCTTGCCTCAGCCTTCTAGGGCTGTAATTATAGGTGTGCGCCAGGACAGCTGGCTCTGGAATGTTGAGGACACCCCTTCTCCTCCAGATGCTCATTATTCCTCCCGGAGCTGCCATTACCAACCACAGGCTTTGCCCGACCTAGATCAGGTTCCCCATTTGTAAATAACAAAGGCTCTGGGACTTCCCAGTGCCACCACGACTAGAATTACATAACCTGGGGATGAATATGACATGTGTAACCACAACGCCTGGATTAGTCCCAGGGGTGGGGCCTCACATCTGCCTGTCATTTCTGGGGCCTGACACAGGGCATGGCATCCAGAAAGAATTCCACTAGTGACCCAGAAACATAAACTAAGCTCCGCAGCTAATTCCTTTGCGCTTTCCAGATGTTACTTCCCTGAGGCAGACTCCTCAGTAGGAGAAATCAGCACAGCGCCCGCACTTTACAGATCGAGAAACTGATCTACAAAGACGCAGTGTTAGGAACTTAAAAATACACATCTGACCTGAGAACCTTTTCTTTCTTTTTCCTATGCTGGGAATCAAACTCAGGGGTGCTCTACTGCAACCCCAGCCGTACTTATTGTTTCATCTGAGACAGGGTCTCACTGAATTGCCCAGGTGGGATTCGAACTTGTATTCCTCCTGCCTCAGCCTCCCTCAGTGCTGGGCAGAGGTGTGCGCCACTGCACCCAGTTTCTTCTTCACCACTAACCACAGGCTGCTTCCCTTTTGCAACCTTAATATTACTCCAGAACAGGAAGACCAGTGTCTCCTGCAAAACCCCAGGAACTGCACAAGAATGGCTGTTGTGACGGTTTCCCTGGTACCCCAAACAGAAGCCAGCGTCCCCCTCTTCTCTGGAATCTGCATGGGGACGGCAGGGACAATCTAAACACCTTCCTCACAAAGACACAAGGGCAGGGCAGTGACAAGGAGCTACACAAACACCGCAGACAAAACAAATACTTTAAAGACAAAAAGCAGGTTATCTCTGTTCTGGAGTTCTGGAATGAGATTAACTGTGCCAGGGCGGGCAAAGTCAAACATGGCCAAGGTTCAGCTCCTTAAAGTCAGTATTCCGAGGCGAGGCCAGAATTTTACCATTAATCAAAGATCACTGGTGCCTTAGTCAGCACAGAGTCCAACCCTGGGCAAAAACCAGGAACTGACCTGCGGCTAGTGAAATTCCTTAATGCAGGAAGGCAGCTGAGAAACGAGGAAAGGCCTGACCTAGATGCAAAGCTTTCCCATTCTAGGGCCAGGTGTGATGAGGCAAACCTATGATAGCAACACTCAGAAGGCTGAGGCAGGAAGACTGCTATGTGTTCAAGGCTAGCCTGAATTATGTGGTGAGACTGTGTCTCAAAAAACTAAAAACCTAGCAGAGTGTGGTGGCACAGTCCCATAATCCCAGCACTCGGGAGGCTAAGGCTGGAGGATTCTTGCAAGTTCAAGATCAGCCTGGGCTACAAAAATGAGCTCAAGGACAGCCTGAATTGCAAAGTGAGACCCTGTCTCAAAAAGACACCTTCCTCTCCCCTTAGCCATTAACACTGCTCTAGCCCAACCTTATAAGTGCACATTGCTGCTTACCACTAAAGCTGAGTTCTCGCAGCTTCTCCAATGCAATTGAGGGCTCTTTCAGGACATCCTGGAAATCTGCGATCCTAGAAAGGAGAGGAGGCCAATAAAGCCCATTCAGACCCCAAGACAACCGAGCCCGCAGCCTGCAGCTCCCTTACATCACCAGTCTCCAACCTGAAGCTTTAGGGAAGTAGAGAACTACACACATTTATTCCTCTAAACCCAGGAACATCGTGCCATAGGAGGGATGGATACTGTTGTCAAGAGGTTCTCAAATGTGTACCACAAAATGAAGCATCTTCTACAAGAGCGCTGGCATTTACTGGGCACCTCCGTGCGGGCAGAGGCTGCCCAATGCGTCCTCACTCCTCGAACTCGACCCCTTCTAGGAGCCAGGAGTAACCTGGCCTGCAGCCTTTGGACCGGTGCAATCTAGCGGCAGCTCTCCTTGCTCATTATAGTACCTCTGGGCCTGCCCTCAGGCAAGGACAAAAGGCTTCAAAAATAAGAGTAAGTCCTGAAGGGAAAGTGACGCGTAAGCAAAATTGTCCCCACGCTGCAGGCTCCAGCCTGGGAGAAGAGGGCAGCCTGGATAACCCAGGTTCTCTAGCGTCTCTAGGAAGAAAAGGGCACAGGGGACGTGGCGCATCTGGGGAGGAGGGTTCCGGGGCCAGGAGACGGGATGGGGGGGCACCGACGTCTAAACGAGTAAGACCCCAGGGCGAAGGCGTCCGGGGTGAGGCAGAAAGAAGGCGCCCCAGGGGCATAGAGGCGTCTCCCCTCCGGCTAGCAGGCCACGGGATACAAAGTGGGAGCCTGCGGCCTGGGGCTCTGCCGGGGAGCAGGGGCGCAGGCCGGGAGCACCCGCGGGCCCTTACCGGCTCTTGTGCAGACTCGACATGGTGTTGACTTCCGGGCCCCCCGGCTGCCTCCGCCGCTGCCGCCGCCGCCGCCGCCGCCGCCCCCCAGGGACGCGGGGCGCTGGCCCAGAGCCTCCGGCGGGAAACCAAACCCGGAGCCTCGCGTTCCGGACTCGTAGCGGGTGCGGGCCCTGCCCCGCCGCTCAGCGCGCTGGAGACCAGTGCCGCTGGGGAAGAAGTGGGCGGGGCAAGAGGCCGCCCGAGCGTGTCGCCCCGCCCCCGAAAGCCCCCTGGGCCCCCCCCCACCTCGCCAAGCCTAAAATAGTCCTGTGCTGAAATGCACAGGCTCCGATTTCTTTTCTTTTTTTTGGAAACAGAGTCTAGCTATGTAGCCCAGGTTGGCCTCGAACTCGCAGTGATCCTCCTGCCTCAGCCTCCGGAGTGCTGGGGTTACAGGTGTACCACGCCATGCTCCACCCGGATTTGTGCTGTTCAGGACTGAATCCCTCGCACCTTCTATATCCGTGACGCTCAGGAACCCAGTAGCTCAATAAACGCTGGAGAGCGAGAGAGACCTGTTTTACTATTGCTTTGACTTTAGGATTTCACAACTTCTGTCATTTAACCATAATTTCAGAACAATAGAAAAAGAGAGCAAGAATTGAGACATCTCTCAGGGAAAGACAATGGGCAGCCTTACAATGATTTTCTGCGGAGGTGACTTTATATGTGCATAATTACCTTAGTTTTTAAATTACTCTACAAATCTGCAAAGGTTGACGTTGGACTGTATAACCTCTGTACCCCTTCTAGCCTCCTATAGCTACCCGAGGTAGGATAGCAAAGATAAAATATAGGTGTGTTAGATGAGGAGAACTCCGACAGCGATATCAGTTGTACTGACACACACCTGTCACCCCCATACTGGAGAAACTGAGGCATAAGTTCACGACCATCCTGGCAACTTAGCAAGAACTTTCTCCAAAAGATTAAAAATAAAAAGGACTGGGAATGTAGTCCCAGGCTTTCTGGGTTCAATTTCTAGTACCATAAAATGATAATTAACTAATTAATTAGAGATTATTCCAAAAATATGAATTTTTAAAAAACAGATTATGTTTCCTAGACTGATTATTGTTGTGTTGTTTCTTTGGTTTTTGTTTTCAATCGTAGGGGTCGAGCAGGGGCCTTTACACTGAGGCACATCCCCAGCCTAGAGCTTTTTTTTTTCCATTTTGAGACAGTGTCTCACTAATTCGCTCCAGGTACACTCAAGTTTGCGATTTTTCTGCCACAGCCTCCCAGAGAGCAATGATCACAGGTGTGCATCACCAGACCAGGCTTCTCAATGGATTTTGTTGTTATTGGGGGGGAGGGCTTACACAGGGTCTGTCTATCTAGTCCAGGCTGGCCTTGAAGTGGAAGCATTGCTCCTGCGTGAGCCTCCTGTGTCCTGGGATTATATCTGTGGACCACCACACCCAACCTCTTAACTTTTATTTTTAATACTTTTTTTTGGTATCAGTGATCAAACCCATAACCTTGTATTTGCCAGACAGGCACTTGTGCCACTGAGTCATATCCCTGATCCCTTTTTTTGTTTTTGTTTTTTGATACAGGGTCTCATCACATAGGTCAAAACTCATTATATAACCCAGACTATCTTCAAACTCACAGTGATCCTCCTGCCTCAGCTTCCCAAATGCTGAGATTACAGGCATGGGCTACCACACTCAGCTTTAATGCAATTTTAATAGCTGTGTTGAAATAAAATTGCCCCACTCTTAGTAATAAGCAAGGTGGGGGTGCTGCTCAGTAGTAGTGTGTTTGCCTGCCGTACTGGCAGCCCTGGATTTGAATCCCAGCACTGCAGAAACACATAAATCCACACAACAGTAATGAGCTTATCCATCACTCTTGGTACATTTTCCCTGCCTCTTGAAGGGATTTTGTTTGTTTTTTGTTTTGGTGCCAGGAGTCAAACTCAGGACCTTGCACCGCCGAGCTAGATCCCCTGCTCCTCTCCTACCTCCTGAGATCTGTCCCTAGCCTCCTCTGCCACCTGCCCCAGCCAGCTTTACTGAGACTGCCTCTGCTGTGCTTTCTGTTGCTGTACATTAGTCTACATTCTCTAAAATTCTTGTATGAAGAAAGCATACAATGTGTGCACTTTGCTGGGGCAGCATCTCGCCACCAAGTCCAAGTTGGCCCTGCACTCATTATGTAGCCCAGGCTGGCCTTGGATTTTTAGCAATCCTCCTGCTTCAGCCTCTTGAGTGCTGAGATGACCAACATGCACTCCCATACCTGGCCCTACTATGTACTCTTAGGTATTATTAGTATTTTTTGGTACTAGGGATCGAACTCATGACTTTGTGCTTGCCAAGCAGGTGCTTATGCCACTGAGCTAAGTCCCCAGCCCTTCTTAGATATGTTTTTATTTCTGTTTTTTAATACCAGGAATGAAACTCATGACCTCGTGCTTGCAAGGCAGGTGCGTGTGCCACTGAGCTAAGTCCCCAGGCCCCCTACTGTGTGCTCTTGTTTAAATTGTTTCCCTTGCACACCTGGAATCCCAGCACTCAGGAGGCCGATCCAAGAGGGTCAGATGAGTTCAAGTCCAGCCTGAACGACATGGCAAGACTCCTGTCCCAAAAGATCCCCCAAAACATACAGAATAAAGTATTTTCATTTTTTGTGTGTGGATGACACACCAGGGTTGCCCTCGGCTGCTGCCCCACACCAGGACCAGTTGTGTGAGTCTGTGTGGAGGTGCATTTCCATTGCTGTCAGAGTCAAATGGCCGGAAGAAAAGGTGGATGAATGTGAGGTTGGTTAGAAGCCAGCAAAGCATTTTCCCAATGGATCGTACCATTTGACACCCACAGGGGCTGGGTATAAGTCTTCTGGTGACACCACGTCCTCAGTCGTTTGTAGCATGGTCAATTTTTAATTGGACATTCTTGTAGGTGTGTACTTGTATCTTCTGTTAGGTTAGTTTTTGTTGTTGTTTTGTCCTGCTCTATTCTGTTTTGTTTTGAGACAGGATCTCACTATGTAGTCCAGGGTGGCTCTGAACTCACCGCATAGCCCAAGCTGGCCTTATTGTAATCCCACATACTGTCTTCAGTCACCCATGTACTTACTGTAATCCTTTCTAGTCTTCCTCACAATTCAAAAAGTTATACTTGTAATCCCACTGAGACGTTATTGGAATCCTAACAAATTAATTCCAAATGCTGAGATTGGACCTCCAGTGCAACCCACGGTCAGAGCAAAGACACCAAGACATATTCCAAGTTAAGGGCACCCAAGGGGTCCTAAATCCAATCCTGTGAGGATGCATGGACAGACACCCTGATCTTCGGCCTCTCCCAGAATTTATCATTTTGTGAAGAAGGGGGTGGCTCAGGGAATTAGAGAAAGAGATGTGCAGAAGGATCAGTTCACAGAATCTAATTAAGGTAGCAGTAGAATTGTTTGGGGAGGCTGTCCTTAGGTTTCTGATATGCAAACTCTTGTGCCCTGGGGAGTCAGAGACTCTTTACCTTGAGGCTCTACCCAGCTGACATTCCTGGAGCTGATGGCTCTAACATCCTGCTGTGCTCATATCCTTTACACGGGGATCACTATGCAAGGAGACAGGACTGTCTGTGGGCTTTAGAGATTACACTCCAGCACCTCACTAGCCTTATTTGCAATGCTTAGAGTCAATTGAAGAGACAAGGAAACACCAGAGCCAGCTCTCTACTTATCGGTATAAGAAAATCAGTCTCCAAATAACCAAAGTCACAGTAATTGTTTTGCATTCAAGGGGAGTCACTGGAATTGTCTCCCACAGGCCTCAGACTTGTGGCAATCCTCCTGCCTCAGCCTCCTAAGAGCTGGGGATATGGGACAATGCTAGGTGTCAAACACACCGAGTTCATGTTCCCGAAGTTGAAGAATGAATTCTAAGAAACAATAGAGGTTTAGAGTAGGAAAATTGATTGAAGAAAAGGAATGGGGAATAGGAAACGCTCCTGAGAGACAGGAGGGTCCTGAATGGGCTGCCCAGGAGCCTGCCTCTCAAAGGAAGTTTCATAGAGCAAAGTCATGAGATGGGTACAATGTGGGTCAAACAACAACGTTGCGAGTGTAGTCACTTAGGTGACATTGATCTAATGACAGCAAGGGTGCATTGGTAACATCATTAACCTTGCTCGATAATCAGGAGTTTTGGCCTTGTCTTAGTCCTAGCAGGTGGGGAAGGATGGGCCATCCCTAGTGAGATGATGGGAAATCCCAAAAGGGTGACAGCAATAATCTCTAACCTCTGGTCACCTCTCAGGAAAATATGTCAAACTAGCCATTGCGATTTTAGTATTGAGATGCCCCTCCAGCCAGGGTCCTGAGGGATTTTCATCTACACTGACAGCCTCGGGCCCAGCCCTGTCTGACTGCCCTCTGTATTTCTGTCTAATTTAGCTGTCTATAATACCGAGTTTACAGGGCCAGGGATTTAGCTCAGCGTCATAAGCACCTGCCTGACCAGCACAAGGTTGTGAGTTCGATCCCCGGTACCAAAAAAAAAGGGGAAGTACAATATTAAATTTACAGGCATATAACACCATACCTGGATTTTTTTTATTCTTTTTTTTAACCTTTGTATCTAGAACTTTATACACTATATTAACTTTAGAATTAGTTTGCCAATGTCTAGGGAAAAAAACTGAGATTTTGATTGAGACTGCATTGAATCTATAGGTTAGTCTGGAAATATCTTCTTTTTTTTTTTTTTTTTTTTAGACAGGGTCTCACTATGCAGTTCGGGCTGGCCTTGAGCTCACTTTGTAGTCCAGGCTGGTCTCAAACTCACAATGATCCTCCTGCCTCAGCCTCCCCTAGTGCTGGGATCACAGACGTGCACTTCCACACCCAGCTTCTCTAGGAGTCTTTCAGGCATCAGATTTACATGTATATCAGATGATTCACAAAAACAGAAACCTTTCCCTAGGGGCTGGGGATTTAGCTCAGCGGCATAAGTGCCTGCCTTGCAAGCAAGGCAGTCGTGAGTTCGATCCCTGGTACTGATAAAAACGGAAAAAAAAAAAAAAAAAAAAAAAAGAGAAACCTTTTCCGTGTTGTAAACATGCCAGGTCCTTTACACACAAGACAAGCCTGCAGCCTCACGAGAGAATTCATGTGGAAGAGCCCTACACATGCGCCCTTTGCCAGGTGGCTTCTGCCAGTCATTCACAGACTCTTGTCCCAGAGGATTCATGGGAAATTAGCTCCAAATTAGGCTTTTCCACCCCAGAAGTCTTCTCAGTACTCACACAGTTGTTTGAAGAGTACTTACCTTTTGTTTGTTTGTTTGTTTGTTTGTTTGAGACCAGGTCTCACTATGAAACTCAGGCTGTCCTTAAACTCATTATGTAGCCCAGGCTACCCTCAAACTCATGGCAATAATCCTGCCTCAGCCTCCTGAGTACTAGGATTACAGGTGTGAGACACCACACCTGAGAGTATTTATCTTGTGACAGTATATCATATAGTTTATTGACTATGCTTTCTATTTATATTCTGCACTAAAATTTGCAAGGCTCATGGTCCTATGGATCATAGGAATTGGTTCATTAAAATATTCCCCATCAGGCATAGCAGCACATACTTGGAATCCCAGCACTCCTTAGGCTGAGGCAGGAGGATCCCTGCAAGGTCAAGGTCACTGGATTACAAAGTGAGTCCAAGACCAGCCTGAACTACATAGTGTCACCCTGTCTCAAAAAGACAAATAGAGCCGGGCGTGATGGCTCACGCCTGTAATCTCAGCACTCAGGAAGCTGAGGAGGGAGGATTGTTGCGAGTTTGAAACTAGCCTGGGCTACAAAGTGAGTTCAAGGCTAGCTGAACTGCATAGCGAGACCCCATCTCAAAAAAGACAAAAAAAAAAAAAAAAAAAAAGACAAAGAATTTCAAGTGCCTAGAAATGTGACTGACATTTCAAGTCTAATAACCATGAGGCAGAGGGTCCCATTCCTGGCCAGCCCAGGCAGCACACTGAGACTATAACTTGAAATCAAGGGGCTGGGGATTTAGCTCAGCGGCATAAGCACCTGCCTTGCAAGCAGGCAGTCGTGAGTTCGGTCCCTGGTACCGATAACAATGAAAGGAAAAAAAAGAAAAAAAATATCAATGAAATCAAAACAAACAGGGCTAGGAATGGTGAATAAACAAATGATTCTGTAAAACAAATGAAAAAACGGTGCCACACAGATGACCCCAAGGTCTTTGGCCAGCACGAGCAGTAGCTGGACTCCCCCGTATCATGGCTGCAGAGGTCTCCAAGTACCTGGACATCTGAGCACTAAAAGTGAATCGGGGAACAAATTTTTGAGGCAGCTGTCTTCATCTATGGCTCCCAGAGGCTCTTGTCTCAAAACAAAATCCTTTTTTTGTTGTTGTTATGGTGCTGGGGTTGAACCCAGGGTCTCCCACTGCGGTACACTCCCAGCTCTGTGTTGTGATTTCTAGCGACCGGCTCAGTATGTTGCCTAGGCTGGCTGGAACGGGGTCCTCCTGCCTCAGCCTCCCGAGTGCTGAGAATACAGGCAGGGGCCACTGGGCTCTGCTGGGATAAATATTTTTGAGTAGAGTTTACACAGGATAGAAACTGGATATATCCAAATAAACTAAGAATAAGCGCGGCAACTGACCTCTTCCGCCCCTGCAGCGTCACCAGGGCGAACTCTAAGGACGCAGGCGGCTGCGCACTGCCCCCTACTGGTGGTCTCAGGCCGGGCAGCAGAGCCCCGAAGGAGCCGCCTGTTGCGTTCGGACCGCGCCGATCAGTCCTGGCCGGCGGCCGCAGAGGCCGCTGTACTGCTTGCGCTCCAGGCTAAGCCCACACTGCCCCCTGGCGGCCGCGCCTGCCACGACACCCGGAGAGCGGTCTCACCAGCGCAGAGGGAGCCCTGAGTGAGTCCCCCTTAGGTGCTGCCTTTTTTTTTTTTTTTTTTTTTTAGACAGGGTCTTGATATATAGTTCAGGCTGGCCTTGAACTCACTAAGTCGCCCAGGATCTGTAAGTCTCACAAGTCTTGAAGTTGCAGCGCTCCTGCTTCAGCCTCCGGAGAGCTGGGATTACAGAAATGTGCCACCACACATAGTTTTTGAGAAACTGCTAAACTATTTTCCAAAGCACCGGCACCCGTTTAAGCGGTGTATGAGGCTTCTAGTTTCTCCACCGACGCTTGTTATTGTCTGTCTCTTTGATCATATCCATCCCAGAGTATGAGGTCGTATCTCATAGTAATGTTGATGTAGATTTCCTTAATGACTAACGATGTTGAACATCTTTTCATTTACCCACAGGCCATTTGTATATTTTCTGTAGAGAAATACCTGGTCAGCTTCTTTGGCCATTCAAAATTGTGTAACCTTTTGCAAGCAGGCAGTCGTGAGTTCGATCCCTGGTACCGATAAAAACGAAAAAGACAAAAAAATAATAATAAAATAAAAAATAAAAAATTGTGTAACCTTAGCCAGGAGTGGCGATGCACTCCTGTAATTCCAGCACTTGCAAGGCTGAGGCAGGAGGACCACAAAACTCAAGGAGGATCATTCCAGGCCAACCTGCTCTGCATAATGAGATCTTGCCTCAAAAAAATGTGTAACCTTTATAGCTCTTAAAGTTACATATTCCAAATACTAGTTCCTTACCCGACCGACACAGGACTTGCAAAAAAGTTCCATTCTATAGGTTACCTACTTTCTTTCTGATGCCCTTTGAGACTCAAAGAGTTTTGTGTTTTGTGTGTGTGTTTTTTTTTTTTTTTTTTTTTTTGTCTTTTTCCTTTTTATCGGTACCGGGGATCGAATTCACGACTGCCTGCTATACAAGGCAGGCACTTATGCCGCTGTGGCTCAAAGATTTTAAATTGTGATGAAACCACATGTATCTTTTTGTTTCCTCCTTTATGCTTTCAGCATCATAGCTAAGGAACCACTGTTTAATCACAGGGCACAAAGAGTCGCTCCTATATCTAAGAGCTGTAGTTCTAGCTCTGCACGCACTTCTTTTTTAATAAGAAGCTACACACAAGCCAGGCTTGATGGCACATGCCTGTAATCCCAGGATGCTGGGTTGCTAAGGCAGGAGGATCACAAATTCGACCTCAGACAACTTAAGAGACTTAGGGAAACCCTGTCTCAAAATAAAAAAAGAGGGGTCAGGGGGTTAGCTCAGCAGTGAGGTCGTGAGTTCAATCCCAGCACCCCCCCCAAAAATCTGAAAATGGTATTTGACTTTTAGAGCTGGGGATTTAAAGCGTGTGGTCATGAGTTTGATACATTAGAAGGGGGAAGGAGAGAGGAGAGCAGAGGAGGGACAGGGGAGAAAAAGCGGGAGGAGAAACTCACCGAACTCATAGAAGTGATCACTTCTGGCACAGGGAAAGGGGAGGGAGGTTGGGTTAGGGATTGAATGGGAATTTGAGCTCCATATATTTCAGTATTGTTTGGATTTACTTTTCCGAGCATGTTTTACCCTGACAATTCAAACTCATTAACAGCATTTTTATTTTTTTATTTCTTTTTTTCGTTAACAGCATTTTTAAAGGATTCAAGATGGAGCCAGAGTGGTGATACAGGCTTGCAGTCCTTGCCACTGAGAAGGCTGAGGGGGTGGGACTGCTGGAGCCCAGGAGTTGTAGACAGCTGTGCGCTCCTGATCCCCATCTCAGTTTTGTTCTGTTTTGAGACAGTCTCTCTGCCTCCTGAGTGCACCACCACGCCCAGCTTCTAACTCAGTTTTTTAAAAACTGAGGCCCAAGCCTGTACTCCCAGCACTCAGAAGGCTGAGGCAGGAGGATCACTGAGAGTTGAAGGCCTGCCTGGACCGCATAGTGGACCCTGTCTCAAAGCAAAAAGAACCAGAACCGCTTTAAATTGTAAAAGGCATTTGCCATTCGTCTGGATTGGAGAAAGGAAGGAGGTGAGGAGCAGCAGGGAAGGGGAAGGCTGGAGAGGGACCTGAGGACAGACCAGTCCCTGTCATCTTTAAGGGGAGGATGCCCTGATCGGATCTGTATTTTGGGAAATCACTGTGGGGCTGGGGGGTGGAGGGAATGAAGGGGCACCCGTTAGGTATTGAGGCAGAAATCCAAAGGTGACGATGGTGGGGGAGCCAGATACCGCACGCCTGTCATCCCGCACTCTGGGAGGCTGTGGCAGGAAGGTCTCAAATTCGAACCCAAACTGGGCAACTTGGCCAGCGCCTGCGTCCGAGCAAAATAAAAAAGGGACGAAGATGCGCTCGGCGCGGGCGCCCTGCGCCCATCCCCGGGAAGGGGTGGGAGGTGGCCGGAGGCAGAGGGCGGAGGAGCGCTCGCAGGGGAGCCCTCAGCACCCGGCGTACCCAGGGGCGGCCCGGGAGGCGCACGGCCGGGGCGGGGCCACCCGGGGCCGGAACTTTCCGCGCCGCCGCCGCGTTCGCCCCGGGACCCCTCGGGGGAACCCCGGCTCCGTTGCTAGGGGGCGGTCCCGGAAGTGACGCGCCCGGGGTTTGTTGACAGCGGAGGCGGCGGCGGCTGCTCGCTCCTAGTCGTAGAAGCCGGATCGGGGGAGGGGCCGGGCCCGAGCCCCGGCACCTGGCGGCCCTCAGCCCAGCCGGCGGCCCTTGGGGCGCGGTAACAGCCACGGGGTCCCCGCCGTGACCGCTTCCCTGGGCGCCAGCCCTCGGCGGCCCAGGCTCCGCCCCGCCGCCCCCAGTCTCCCGGACCCCGGCCCTAGAGCGACGAGGTCCCAGCTACTCCCGGCCCCGTCCTCCACTCCTCCTCGCCGACGAAGCATCCTGCCCACTCCCCAGCGCGGAGGGCGGCCGCATCCCAGGGTAGGTCCCGGACGCCGGGCCACGGGTGTACCTGCGTCCCCTGCTCCCCGCCTGCCTCTGGGCCTAGGCATTGCCGCTGCAGCCCCTTGCAGACTGGGCTCCACCTCGGCCGGGGTTGGGGGCCCCCTTCTCCACCTCTGCCGCCGGGTCTGACTAGCGTGCCCTGAAAACTGAGCTCCCTTCCTGCAAAAAGCAAATGACGCTCCGTTGGGCGCCCCTACAAGATGGGGGAATCGAGGTAGGGCTGGGAAGGCCAAACTCTGCCCCTCCTACCTGTTGGCTGAGCTGAAGTTCTCCCAGAGCCCTGCAGCTCAGGGATGGCGTGGGATTTGGATGGCTCCCAAAAGGGGTGACAAGGTGCAGGGGAAGCCACTGGGTGGGAAGGGGAGGAGTGGGGTTGCACCCCGCAGGCTGGGGAACCCGATAGGTGATAGGTGAGTCGAAAGTGAAACTGTAACTCTTGGGGGGTGGAACTTGATTTCGCTGCCCTTTGACCCGAGCTGCCCATGATTGTCCGTCTTTGCCTGTGCCTCTGAGTGAACTGGGTTTTGAGGGGCACAGGGTGACATGAAGCTCCTATAGGATGATTCTCCACACGATGTGCAAACTGGCTAGAGGGAGCATGGGAGCACGGGGGACGGTTTTGAAAATGCACAAGCGAGATTATGCTTAAAGCAGTATGCGGCTGTCACTGAAGAGGGCCTCTCCACTTCAGTTCGCTTGGCAAATATCATGCAGAGTGTAGGGTGGTAATAAGTGTCATAGAGAAAAGTAAACCGCAAAGGTCTGTGGGAGAGGGCCAGAGACTGAGGTCACCTTTATATGGAAGGCTACCTGAGACCATGATGTTTGACAGATGAGTGTGGGAGCCAGTGGTGCAACAAGCTGGTGGTAGAGCATTTATCAGCAGGTGCAAAGGTCCTGGGGTGGTATGCGTAGTGGTTTTAAAAATCAGCAAGAGAACAGAGGGCTGAAGCATGATGAAGGAAGGAGGTGAGGAACGGTTAGCCAGGAAGTCAGAACAGTTGGAAGCAGATAACAGAGAGGAGTATGTCAGGGGCAGGGACATGGTCATGGTGCAGGGAGTAAAGGCCACCCTTTCAGAATTTGCTTGTCGAAGTGTCTGGTGGCTGGAAAAAATACAGATTTGTTTTAGATGACAAGTGGCCATTGTGCTCTAGCTTTGTGTCCTAAGTGCCCTTTTCCCATCTTTGTAAAAACCATTGATGAAATAAAAGCCCCTCCCCCAAAGCCCACCATGGAGCACTGCGCTGTCAGTTCAGCCAGCACCACCCCGTGGGCGCCTCCACGTGGGCCACAGGCCTCTGTTCCTGCGTCTGTCTTCTCATTTGTAAAATCGGGTCGTTGAGAGAAATGAGAGCTTGCGTGGTAGGGCTTAGCCTGGTGCTTGGTGAGTTAGCGGGCGCAGTGGTGCCAGTAGTGTGGCAGCGAGGAGTCCTCCGTGTGTGTGTAGGATGAGGGGGCAGGGACTTCCCAACAGCTGCAGCCTCATCTCTTGCAGGGAGGAGCGGGGCTTGCTCCTGGGTTTTCTCATGGCGTTGGAAAGCAGGGGAACAGAGCGGGGGTGTGGCAGGGAATGCCCTGGAGACAGCTCGTGAAGGGCAGGGGACGCTGGGCCCAGATGTGAGACTTCGGTGTTAGGGTGCCTGTGGCCGTCCACAGGTGGAGGCTGTGGATAGCTGCGGATTCCGGAAGGGCTGCCCACTGTCACCTGGATGGCTGGCGGAGCAGTTGGGCGGGCCAGAGGGCTTGGAAAGGAAAGCTCCAGGGGCTGAGGATGTGTCTCGGTGCTGGAGCACTTCCTTACCCAGTAGGCTTGAGGGTCTGGGCTGGGGCACATGAAAGAGAAAAAAGAAACAAAGGCCAGCGTGCTGTTGGGGCTGGCCTCGAACTCATGGTCCTCTTGCTTCGGCCTCCTGCATGCAGGGAGCCCGTGGGGAGGGGGCTGCTCAAAGCCCTGAGGGTTTTGCTTGGTTTCTGCACTGGGCCTCCACCAACTTTGTTCCTGAGCTGTGAGTTCAGAGACCCCTGATGGGCCATCTGTTTGGAGGCCAAGGTCAGACCTGGTGGTCCAGCAACCAGAATTGTCCTCGTGGATGCACACTTAGAAATTCTTTACCTCCCTTTCTCAGCCGCTCCCTCAGCAGCCACACCAGGCAGGGGCTGTGCCCAGCACAGTGACAGGTAAGAGCCAGGAAGACACTAGGCTGGAAAACGCTGCCTGGGGACCTCACGGAGCTCTGGCTGCTTTGCCACCACTCACCTGTCGCGCCTCATGCCATAGAGGCTCATAGGTTACACGGAGTCCTTTCCCTCTGTGGCAGAATTAAATGACAGCAGCCCCTGGGGTCTTCCTCAGCCACACTAGGTCCCCAAGCTGTGGGGACACTGTGGAGGCTGAGGCACAAAAGGCACGGGTGAACTGAGGTGGGGAGCCGGGTACTTGTAGATCCCCTGTGGGCCAAGTCTGGGCACCACTTTAACCTGTAGACTGTTCCTCTGGGAAACAGCACATCTCGAGTCCCTCTGAGGGTCTCTGTGGCGTCTGTGAGAACGAGCCTCCAAATGCTAAGCCTTGAACTTGGAATGCGACAGAACCGGGATCTGTTCTCACCCACGTTGGTCCCCGGCAGGCCACTCAACCCCAGCTACTGCCCCTGTAACTGTGGGTTACAAGAACTCCAGGCCAGGTGTGCTGGGCACAGTTTAATTCCAGTGCTTGGAGGCTGAGGCAGGAGGATCGATGTGAGTTCAAGGCCTGTCTGAGCTACATAGTGAGAGCCTATTAAAAAAAACAAAAAAAACAAACCTGAGAAAATGAACCGAGTGTTGAATACTGAGTGGAATTCTTAGCATAGGCTTGGTGTGCAGCTTGAATACGATCATTAATAAGTCTGATCGCAAGATTAGAACCCAGGCTGGTGCCTGGCCTACCCCACAGCCCCAAAGCCTTCCTGTGCTCTCTCCCTCTCCATTTTATGGTATTTGCTGGCACCAGCAGCCACCTCGGGGAGCTCTGTGTTCCTCGCTTGTTCCATTTCAGCACCTTCAGCCCTTACCCCGTGCTGCCCACTCACTGGTCTCTGCAGACACTGCGGCCAGGCGGTCTCTGAGCCTCACCTGTGCCCCATGCCTCGAGAATCCCATCATCACCCCGACTCCTGACCCAGTGTGATCTGCTCTGCCTGGGAAGGCTGCAGCCTCTGTCAATAGGGAATTTGTCTGGTCCTCCACCTCGAAGGTTAATATTTCATAGGTGGGCACTGCTCCAAGGCCCAGGCCTGGCTCCCCCAGCCTCTTGGCCCCTGCGTGTTGGGGAACCTGTGTGTGTGGGGGGGCTGATTTTCCTCTGGATCTCAACTCTCTTTCCCCTCTCCTGCTTGGCGGGATGGATGGACCTCTTGGCCTGGCCCAAGGTTTGGGTCCTTCTCCATCTCTTTGGAGGTCAAAGCAAGTGGGCCAGCAGTCTCGACCTCTGACTGCCACTGGAGGTCATTCCTGCAGTGGCAAAGGTGGGTTCTGCTAGATGCCACATGCCAGCCCTCCAGACAACTCTGGGACCGGGGCGGGGGGGCAGGCTGCAGGCTTGATTTGGTCCAGCTTGACAGTCATGGCTCCCAGCTCAGGGCTGGGGGAGGAGCCGCAGATGAATTGTTATACAAACGATTAATTCGCTCTGAGCCCAGGGTGCACTGACTAGTTGTTTTATTGCTTAAATAAGAGACTGTACCAAGGAAAGCGCTGCACGGTCTGGAAATGCCAGCGTGCCTGTGGTGGCCTCTCTCCTCTCCCACGGCCCTTTCCCCAGGATGCCCTAGGTACGGAGTGACCTAGCCAGGGGGAACCTGCAGGGAAGGGATTCTCCCTGTGCTTTCACCTGTGAAAAATCAGGGTGCCCTCTGTCCCCACTTCCTAGACTTCCAGATGGCTGATATGAAGCCTGCAGCTACCTGTGCACAAGTGGCAGGGTGTTCCAGCCCCCAGGCCTCTCAGCCTCGGTGCCAGGGTGTGGGATGGCTCCCGCCTCCCCCATCTCGCCCCAGCCCCGGGCAGCTGCTTGTCACTGCCGTAGGGAAGGCAGCAAGTGGTACCCTTTGCCCAGTTTGTCTTTTGGGGGCTTTGGGAACTGACATACCTGAGGACCGGAGCAGGGGCACAGCAGCTTCCCCGGGCACCTGGTTCACACTGGCAGCTCTTTCCATTCAGTCACGCAGTTTCAGCTGTGGGCACAGAGGCCCAGTCCGCGGGCTCGCCCTCTGCAAGCCCTTTGTGACCCAGCCACAGGCATTTGCTGAAGTGGTCAGGCCCGCTGGCGCTCAGGGTTTCCTTTGCTCTTGGCCAGCATTCCTGGACCTGGGCCCTCAGCCCCAGCACCCCTCGCCCCACACCCCCTCTTCCCTGCTCACATATCTCCTCCTTCCTGGAGGCTGATCCCTCCTCCCCCGCTATCAGGTAACCGGGATTCATCTAGGGGGGCATCTCTGAAATGCCCCCCACTTTTTGAGACCAGGTCTGTAGTTCAGGCCGATCTTGAACTGGAAGAGCTCCTATGCCATGCCACCCTGCGTGTCTCAGTTGCGTGTCTGTAACCCTGCAGAGCCCAAGTGTCCCTGGAGGCCCGGACCCTGCCACTCCTCGCTGGAGCGAGGTACTCAGAAGCTGGTTGCTGAGTGCCCAGCACCAGGAAAGCCATGCCAGGGAAGAAGCCTGTCCCCGGCAGGTCAGGGGTGGCTTCCTAGTGGAAGTCACCTTGCTACTGGGACACAGGACCAGCTGAGCAAGAGTAGAGTTCAAAGGCAGTGTGGGCCGGATGCTGCCTGGAGGGGAGACCTGGATGTGGGGGCAGGGCTGACAGTGTTGGGAGGAGAAGGGGAAAACCAGTGAGGTTCAGATGGGCCCAGCTGAGGAGGATGGGCAGAGCAGAGGTCTGAAGGTGCCAGAGGCAACCCCGGCCTAGGCCTTCTGCCAGGCCAATTGGAATAGGAGTCTCAGGGGACCACGTCGCCTGGCAAGCTGCTGCTTCTCTAGAGGAGATACTACTGAGTGCTCACAGACCTGGAAGTAAATGAAGGTGGGGCGCCTGGCCCGACCAGGCCATCGGCGCCCCACTCGCCGTACCTCCCTGGAGGGTTTCGCCGCATGGCCAGTGTGACAGCTGGTGCAGTGGGCCTTGTGGGAGGTACCAGGCCGGGAGCTGGGCGGGGGTAGACGCTACCCTGTGTGGGTAGAAGAAGGTGATGAAGATTTGATGAGAACCACTGTCTTAGCCAGGCGCAGTGGTAATCCTAGCACTCAGGAGGCTGAGGCAGGAGGATTGCCATGAGCTCAGGGGTGGCCTGCTGAGCTACAGTGAGTTCAAGGCCAGCCTGAACTCCATAGTGCGACCCCATCTCAAACAGTGAAAGAAAGGATGGCTGTCTCTGAG